TTGGTGATGATGCTGTTTAGGTTGGAATGAGTCTAGTCGTCGATGCGTTTGTTGTTGGATTTGATGACTGTTGCGTGATTGTTGGTGGAATGTCAATAGTATGCGATTCATTACCAAAAATTAATCGTAAACGCTTCATTGGCTGGGTATTGTGTGGTGAGCTCTTCTTCTGTAGAAAATGTAAATTACAATGATCACTACAATTATTACAGCTACTATTTAAATGTCGAATGCGATTCTGGATTTTGCTATCACTATTGCCGTAATGCATCTTATCCAAATGATTTATCTCATGGTTCTTCTGGTATTGTATTTGCTCATGATTTGTATGGTTTACGTGTGATGGATGACTCAAGTGCGAATGATTGTTGATTGGCTTCGATTGATCTTCCGAGCTAGTTTGTTCCATATTGTACTGCTGTTGCTGTGACTGTGACTGCTTTCGGTGTCGATGGCGATGGCTTTTCGCCTTGGTTTTGTGTCGTTTCTTTCGCTTTTGTTGTGGTTTCGATGGTGACGACACTGATGCATCAAATGAATCATCATCGTCCGAATTGTCGAGCAGCCCTTCCACACGAAACACTTCGTATTCGGGGGCATAGTGTGTATTGTACGCACTATTGCCACTTCCATCACTTAAATTCGTTCCCGATTCGATAAGATCGTCCAACATTGGGCTTCGTTTCATGCGTAACGTTAGTTTTAAACGTCTTTCAGGTGTTTTCAATAGAACATGCTCCGGTTGCAGAACAATTGCATTGTTCACACCTTTTGCTGAATTCAAACATTGTGAGCCTGATGGTGCTTTATTCTCCCACGATGACGTACTCTCCGATTCGCTTACACTTTTCGATATTTTCCGTTTTCGGGCAATTGTTCCATTTACAACGCCATTGATTGGCCGTTGTGGTTGTGTAGCATTTGGCGGAGGTAGTTTTGAGTCTGCACCACTTGATTCAATGTCTGATGTGTCATCGAATCCATTTGTGATATCCAATTTGTGTGGAATTCCTTTGCGTGATCGTCTCGGCATCAATCCGTTTACTGGCGACTTAACCGCACCATTCAATTTCGTTGGTGTCGTTTCGTTCGCCACTTTCGTGCTCGTCTCACGAATGAAATCATCATTACGTTTGGTCAGATCACAGATTTTCGCAGATAAATTTTGTCGGCAGTTTTCTATGGCAGTCGATCGATTTTTGGTCGGAGTGGTTTCGGTCTGCAACGCAACCGCTACCCCGTTGCTCAGTCCGATATCTGAGCATAATAAATTCTGTGACGATGAAGCGCCATCATGGTTCTGATTGTGTGCAATGCTCTCATTAGCCTCCGTGTCTGGATTTGAACTGATTTTTGTTGCAGCAACACCGCCATCGCTTAAGTTTTTTGTAGCCTCACGCCGTTTGAAACGTCTTTCTCTCAAAGACATGGCTGGTGACTTTTTGCTTTTCACCGCCGGCGAACCGCTTGAACTGGCCCTTGTGCTTGCCGATAATACGGACTCAGCCGCTGCTGCTGCTGTTGTTGTTGCAACTGCACTCTCCGAAGAAACGATTCGTTTACTTCTTCGGGTCGACAAAGGTGTTCGGTTTTTTGCTGGTTCATCGGTGCTACTCGCTGGGCTACCACCTGAAAATATGATAGAAAATTAATTATTATGCAATTCCTGCAGGGAATTCCTTTATGATTTCAATTGTTTGTGTCGATAAACTCACCGTTTTTCTTACTATTTGAATCGACTTGTTTAGATGATGAATCCACCGCCATGAGCTGTGGATACTTGTTGAACACATTATTTGGATTTTGTTGTGCAATTATCATTTCGGCATCATACTTCGTTAGTCCTTTTTGCCGAAGCTCCCTAAGTGTAAGTGGTGTCATAAGTTTATCATTATCTGCACGATTACTTGTCCCGACGCTCATTGATCCGCCGCTTTGTATTGCATTTTTATTTTTATTCTTGATGCGATTGATTCGATTGTCCGTTTCACGTAATCGATAATTTCCTGTTGTACCCTGGCTACCGCCACCAACGCTTGTCTTGAGACTTGAACTCGCATTACTATCATCACTGACTGTGCTCCTGTTCATATTTCTAGATGCAAAGGCACCGGTGCCACGACGTTCGCACGTTTCACACTCGCAATAGCTGTTGTTGTCGCCAAAAAAATCCTCACCATAGAAACAAGTAATCTCCTCGCCAACTTCAATATCGCGTAATACTTTGACACATGCTGTATCTCGTCCGGTCGCAACAAATTTACAATTTGCTCGACAATCATGATTTATATAAGCTGCCGGTCCCAACCACAGCTGTGCACAGTTTTTTCGACAACTGTACATAACGGAAAAATCATTTTTACCCGGATGCAACAACGCCTTCTCCTCCTCTTCAGTCAATTCGGCAATGCATCCGACTAGACATTCGATTTTATCGTTTTTCTCCCAGCGCCGTGTTGCCGATATTTTGGCACCCTTTTGATCTTCCAATGAATAACGATAGCATCCTTCGATCATGAATCCAGATTCACGACTGAAAACGCGTAAATATCGATAAATCTGAAATGAAAAAAAAAAAACACACAACAAAATTATTATCATCGACTCGGATATCAATTGGAATGGTTTGTAATGGTCTCTTACATGCTGCTGTAGACGTTGTTGTGCCAATTTATTTTTATTCGTTTTGATGTGCCGTGGCATCCATTCGCCCTTCATAATCTGTTGATACGCTTTCTCATAGTCTTGAGTTTGAATGAATTCGGCGACAATATTTTTGAGTTCAGCAGTGTTCGCTTTGAGCGGTCGATATTTTATGTTCATTTTATGCGTTGTAAAGCCCAAGTATGGATCGAGTACGAGCGATGTGGCGAGGTCATCATTTTCCGATAGCTCTTTCGGTGTCATACCAGTGGCCTGCATTTTGCTATGGTGCGACGTTTGATGATGCTGCTGCTGTGTAGTACTCATTGAAGCCGATGGTGGATGACGGTGTGGCCGTGCACCAGAGTCAACCACCATAGTTATTCAAGTTTCTGAAATGAAAAGCACCGATTCCTGACATGAAACAATGATTCGTCAAGCAAAAAAAAATAAAAAATCTAAGCAAAAATGAAAGTGACAAATCGAAAACGAAAAACAAATTGGGCATCTCCACTATGTGAATATGAGCATTTTTATGGCATTGTTCAAGTTGATTTTTGTTTTTATAGGTGAATGAAGCTCTATGAACGTTGCAGCACAAAGTGCCGCCGCGTGTGTGAGGTGTTTTAACATGCTCTCTGTTTTTTTTTTTGAGCACAGCTACCTCGTTGAGCAGCATGTTCGATCATATGGCAAACGCACACAAATCTTTTTAATCGTAATACGGAGTTGGTCGTCGTTGCTGTAGTGCGCGCGACGTGTGTGCTATCAATCACACTTACAGTATAGATTTACGCACGACTGAGAAGAAGCAGTATGCGACGACGGCGACGACGATGACGACGACATACACGACAAAAACTCTCCATTAAATTGTAACAATACACACAACTTTAGAAAAGTCAGATTCGGTGTGTGGCTTTTGAAATCGTTCGGTCCGAAAGAGCTCGATAGGAAGGTCAATAATAAATATTGACTATTTCAAAAATATGTGGTATTCCATCTTGAATGCAAAAATAGCAACAGCACTAATGAATTGAAAAATTTACCATTATTTCAAATGACCAAAATATACGTCTACCTGGACACATACGAATAAATCAAAGCACTCACACACATACTTAAATGATAGCTCTATAAGATTTTTATGAATGGAAACTTGATTAAATCCATGAGCTGCGAAACACACCGATTTCAATCGAAATCATTCGACTATTGCGTTTATTTATTCCAAACGAATGAAAGAAGAAAAACTTTTGCCACTTCGACACAATGCACTTAGTTGCAGTCAAACACCGAATCCACATTCAAATGCACTGGCTACATATATGCAGCAATATTTTCATTGTCTTTTGCTCTCTGTGTGCTTCTTCTGGTGCATAGAGCGAGAGCATAGTCGTCGTCACTGTTGATGTTGCTGCTGTTATTGTTGTTGCTTGTGTCTAGTGTAGTTTTGTACTGTGCGATATACACACACACGCCGTTTTCGTGTACAAAACGTCTGAACACGTCATATACCGTTGTCTCTGTTTTACGATTGTGTAGACATTTGGATTCGTTTGCAGCAAAAGCATAAGGAATTGAACAAAAACTATGGCAGCTATCTCATTCTCGACAAACTCTTAATCACATACACACATCATCGCTATGAATTCACAAAGCCATTCTATGCTTTATCAAAGTCGAAAAAAATAAAATTTAGTCAGCCACTATGAGCACATACCGATTAGTATGGAAAGAATTACTTTTTTGCCACATTAATGACTGTTGAAACTAGCCTCGAATTCGATAGATTTTATGATTCACATTTTACGGTTTCATTTCTGAAACAATGTTTTACTACACCATTTTTTGCATTTCGGAAATATAAATTTTTCATTTGAACCAAACGAGCGATCTATTGCGCAAACACACTCTTCCGTTTGGTTTTATAAATAAAACATTATAAATGAACAATGTCGGACTGATGATGACGAGAGAGGATTTTTTGTTTTATTTTTTTCTTTCGTCAAACATTCAAAAATGGAACAAAATATTCTTCTGACACTGATACCAGAGCAAATTTGCATTTTTGTTCCCCCGAACTAATTGAGATGCCAGCTAATTTGACTGTAAAATGGGGATTTCTTCTGACATGCTTTTTACTCGGAATCATAATTGGAATCGAAGATTGACTGCGTCAGCAAAGAGAATAATGAATCATTGAATGCATGAGCATTGATAAAAAGAAGGATCATTGTTATTCAAAAGGGTGGTAACCATCGAAGAGAGAAAAAAAACGAATTCGGTCGCCTAAATATTTCATTTGAAATACATGCATGACTGATGAGAAAAAAATATCGAAGAGAGAGAGAGAGAGAGAGAGAGAGAACAATAGAAACATTGTATCCTTGATTCGATGATTTTATCTTGTTGATTTTCGAAATTAAATGCTTCATATTTGTGGAAGATATCGGTGGATTCGCTTGCTGGCCACATTCATTGTTCGCATTGTTTCAACCGAACTATTATTACCTCTATTCGTTAGAACAGCATCACAATAATCTAATTTTATAAATGTATCGAGACGATTTTTTTCTTTTATCTGACGAACGACGCTTTAATGGCCGCTTTCGATAATTTTTCATTTCTCCGATTGGTACTGCCATAAATGTTTCGTGTTTGTGACCATTGTAATATTCCTCTCTTTCGCTATCTGTGTGTGCGATGAGCGTGTGTGCTTTTTTAGGTATCCGTTTTTACGTGTATTGTTGTATTATATTGCGGTGCGTGTATCTCTCTCTCTCTCTCACTACGCTAACAACACTCTCAATGTGTACACATATATATTGCTTAGCGCGCACACACAATGCCAGGCCAAAATTCTCTCTCCTTTACTTTGTGGATCGTATTTTTTTTCTTTTTTCTTTTTTTCTGCTTCTTTCGTTTAATTCTTCCCAATGCTTAAGTTTTCTTTGTCACTTCTGTATATATTCTTCGAATTTGAAACTATAGCTTGAACTTTTTTTTAAAATTTTAATTTCTAATTCATTTACTCACGACTTTAACTACGACAAAAAATTCATTTCTATGTTAAACTTATTTACGGCGATTTAATTTAATTTTCATTTTTTTTTTAAATGAAAATATTTTGGAGGAAACAAATAGAGAATTTCACGATTTTATTCCTACAGAAAAATGAATCGAATGCACGTATAAAATAAAATCGATACAACAACGATGTGTACGAGTGAGCTACTGCTTTGTATAAACTGACAAGTTATCTCTGTCCCTCTTTGTTCGATAAGTCTCTTTGCCACCGCACATACACGCTCACACACGCACGCCCATCATCAATGTCTGTGTGTGCTGCTGCTCTAGAGCATATGTCGACAGCAGTATGTCTACGGTTTTTGATGGCCACAAAACATCCTTCTCACTACCTGTCAAAATGAGGCCTTTATCATGTTTGCTGACCATTTTTTGCGCTGAGCAATGGTATAATTTGGGATTATTTGTTAAAAAATCATATGTGTGCTAGCTTTGATGACATTCCTGTGAGTTTTTCATCTGTTTTATCGTTACAATAACCAAAATTTCCTAAATCCAACCATAAAATATAAAGCCTTTTGGAATATGGAGACGCCCGGAATCAAATCAACATTTCAAATTTCTCACATACTCCAATTTGAACAAGAAAAAACTGTTGAAATGGAAATTGAGAAAATATCAAATGACTTGGCTGTGAATTGACAGAGTTACCATTGAGATTTTAGTCGTCCTATGTGGATAAAATAAAGTGCGAAATTACATAGTCAAAATGTCACGTAAAAAATGTCTTCAACTGAAAAAAGATTTGCGGGAATACTTGCAAAAAGAAAACCTTGAAATAATTGACGATCTCAAAAAGGAGACATTAAGCCCGTTTGTAACCGATGAACGAATTCGCCCAATCAAAAGTGGAATGTCCAGTCCAACAACAACAGAAAGGACAGCAAGCAACGAACCATCAACAGCGGCAAAAGCAAACAGAATATTAGATAAGCCATTAGTTGCCAAACCGTCAGTTTCTTCATTAAGTTATTTGGATTTTTTTCTTTTCTTCCTTCTGAATTTGACATTCAGTTCAATTCTAGAAAGAAAATAGTTTAAACGGTTTTAATTTTTTGCAGTGTTCAAATAATGAAAACTCGTAGCTGCACATGCAAAAGTAGCCTCATAGTTTTGGTCATTGCATTAATACTTGGGATCGCCTACACGATTGGCATCATAAGCGGTATCACCGGACAACCATTTCCATTCGGTTGGATGACAAAGGATTTTCCAAAAGTGTATTATTGAAACGGAATAAAAATCATGTTCATTAGAAAGAATTAAATCTGTTTATTTTTTCATTTACTTCATTTAGAAACGTTGATTTTCTGTTGGGTTTTTGTTTTGTTTAATATCTTAATTTTAAAGAGTTTTCAATATTTGCCGATTCATGTGTTTATTGTAATTGTTTTTTTTTTGTTTGATGACATCGCGAAATTGGTATGCTTGTGTGGATTGTTTGCTGTTTTTCCTCTTTAGTGGCCGTATTTCTGGAATTCCCATTCTCGGTTATCCAATGGGCACACTTGACGCGTCTTCAACCAACGGGAGATGCAATGGAAATGGAATGCATGCTAAAAAGTCCGAAGAAAGAAAAAATACGATGAGCAAATTGACCTTTGAAATTGAAAATGTCGTATGATTGTTTGAAAAAAAAAAACAAACTTACATTGCAAACACCCCAAGCAACGGTACATTCTTCGCTTGTTGCTGATGCCTGATTCGCTTGACATTCGATGCACAAATCCATGATATGGTTTCGGCAAATGGCGCAGTTGTCAACCACAATATCTAAAGGAAATAAAAATAAAATAAAATAAATTCTCTCGATTAGTTGTAATCAAACACAGAAAAAAAACAATCAATCCGGATTGGTTTTTGCAAATCCGAACAAATATTTCAGCGAAATTGAGGTTATGTGTTGTTGCGAAAATCACTGAAACAGCGATGACGCACAGAAATTGAAACAAAGCCTCTGTTTATAAATTCGTACAAAAAGACTGATTAATACATACCCCAGGCCCATAACGCAACAGCACTCCACTGAAAAGCAAATCAAATCGAAATTATGTTTAGATTCGTATGAAATCAACAATTTCGGGGGAAAAACAAAAAAAAAAATTCGTGGAAATTGTTTGCAATCGAAAGAAAGCGAGTGAAAAAAAATGGTTTACCTTCTTCACTTCGAAACGTTTCTTTGTTGCTTTGTTGTCGCTGCTACTTGGCTGCTCAATATCATCTTCGTCGACCTCCATTCTGTGCTGTTTTCAAATTCTACTTTAAATTTGGTGTTTTCAACAAAAAAAAATTTCGAGACTGATTTTTCTCGTTTTTTTGAACTGCAACGATTCGATACTACACCGAAAATGAGAAGCGAGACTTATTCTATGAACACCGTACACGGCCGTCATGATGTTGAATGTGTATTGGTGTTTGACAGTTTGTTGCATTCTCCATTGACAGAGATATACAGCGCGCTGAAAATACATTCACATACTACTAGCGCCATCGTGCTGCGCTCTAACCGCACTTTTTGATTTGATTCAGTGTTTTTTTTTTAAATAGAGAATTACTCAATAATTTTATTTGTTTTTTATTTAACATTTATTTAAATTATGAAAAAAAGAATTGATATTTTCCGTAATTTTAAATTTCAAAATAGTTTTCCAAGAAAAAGACAATTTCTTTCGTGTTTGCCAAACATTCAAATGTGAAAACAATCACTTTTGAATTGGAAACTTTTTGAAACAGCTGATAAAGCCAACACGACGATAAAACATGATGATAAATATTTTAGTGTGAGCTCTTGATGAAATTTGGGCACTTTGAAGTCTCTTGTTACGCAGAAAAAGTCAACCGATTTACTCATATTCTCAATTTAAACTGCGGCTGTTTGAATCACGTTCGATACTTTATTGGCATCACATCGAGGAATGTTTTCAATTGATTCCTCAAAATAATTGAAATCAATTCAAGTGCCGAAAACGACTTGATTTTTTCAATAAATAGGCAGAGAGTTGATACACACGTAGAAATCAATTTATCGATTTCTAATGAAAAAGCCACAAATATATATTCATCAGTTTTGTACAAATGGACTTGAAATTTATTTAGATAAAGATAAGATATTTGTGAAAAATTATAAAAATAATTTAGATGAAGATGAGATATTATCTTATCTATCTAATAAAAGATAAGATATTCTTTTCGAATTATCTTTTAGTTATCTTTGATATTTTTCTATGAGAAAATCGAACTATCTTTGAAATTATCTAAAAAAATTCGGGATAGATAACGAAAAAAGTATTCAGATAAGATATCAAGATAGATGACCAATCTGAGTGACTGATTTAGATAAAGATTAAGATATCATCTTATCTTATCTATCTTCATCTTATCTATCTTAATTTTATCTTTGTACAACAATGATATTCATAAGTTGATTGTTTAAGAATGCAAATGAAAAACGAGCAAATTTGACAAAAGAAATTATATCGCAATTCCAGGCTGGAACATGCTTTTTTTCACCGGTTGATTGATGAAGGGTGATCAATATTTTTCTCCACTTTCACGGAGATAATAGAAAATAGTCGTGCGAAGAAAGACTTCAGGAAATTCCACAATAATAACGAATGAAACGAAATAAATCCCTATTTTTGGTCAAAAACAAATGTTATAACTTGCATTATTTCTGATAATCCATTGTTATCGAATTCATCTCTCATTTTGTGAAGTTAACATACATGTCGGAGTTTATTTTTCCAATTTTTTCACATTTACTTTGGAAGTGACGTAATCCTGGATACCTTCTTGAGTCGATGCTCTTTTTGTTCTTAGCTGATTTTAATTCTACATGATGTCTTTATAATTTCTTCCTGGTTTTGTCTCTTTTCTGTTTTTTTTTTGTCTTCCACAAAAAGCAGCGTAGCCAAATAGAAAAAGGGCTCCATAAAAAGCCACATTTACTCAAAAGGTACAGACAACAAGGCTGTAAATTATTGTTTATTCATAAGATATGGGACCTAAGACAATGATCTCCACATTTCGTCATAATTTATTCTTCATACTTACAAATTAAAATGCTAACACAATAATGTAAAGGAAAAAGTGGCACCACGCATGTTATGTATGAAATAATTTATTTGTAATTCAATTGACTGACTTAATGAATATATTTGCTTTGCTAAGTAATGTGCTTAAAACGATTCTTAATGTTCTTTTGTTTTGTAGACTGATTTCCATATTTCGAATAGGCAAATACTGGAGTGAAATCGATAGAAAATGGCAAGTGGCATCGAGACATGAGTAATCACTGTCCAAGCCCAAACTCCATAGAAACCTAAATGAGTTGGTCTGAAACCGGCTCGACTCTTGATCAGCGTGTAAATGAACCAAAGTGACATGTTTGCCACCAGCAAAAATGTGACCATTTCACGTCCTGGTTTGTTCCGCTGCTGCTGTGCGCCTTTGCATTTTCGCCAACTGGCATTCAGCACGAACAATGTTTGCAGTGATGTTTGCAATAAGCATAAGATTTCAGCGCACAATGATTCTGAACTTCCGCTCACATTATCGAGCATTGCGAAATAGCATCCGATTATGCTAAACGAACCGTACAGATAGACGCCGGTCTGTGCCACAACCAATAAAGTACAATCCAGTGCAACTGCACTGCCATGATGATCGTTTGATTTACGCAAAAATTTCAGATCTCGCATCGTAAACACAGCCGACAGAACGGCCAGGGTTGTAAGGATGTATAAAATCATTTCGCAATAGACAACTTCGCTGATGGCAGTTTTTTCGTAATTGGGCTCTTCTCGAAGCACAAAATACATTATTAGACAAATGATGGTCAGAACAATCACCATGATGCCAAAAAACATGCCTCTGTGAGCCCGACTACAGTCGACTGAGAACTGGTGGGCACTCACCGGGGGCAATACATTCGGCTTAATCGAATTGCGACGTTGGCGCTCAATGTTTGGAATACTTTTCACATTTTTCCACATTTCAAACAGGATGACCGCACTAAAAAAAAATGATGAAAATTTCACTGAGGAGAGACCGTACACATTTTTGGTTCTAAAAAAAATTACCATATGAGAGAATACTCGATTGTGCATGGGAACAAAAATGGAGATGCATCATGAATGAGTGTTGTCATTATTGTTGATTCACTGCAATCTGCTAGATTGATATCACTATGGCGTTTTGTTAACAATCGCTCAGTTTCATTAGGAACTTGTGTTGTTGTTCTGGTGTGGCTGCTACCCACCATCATAAACGGTGTGGTATTCACTAGAAGTATTGAAAATAATACTAATCACTTTATTTTATTCACTATAAAATCATTAAATTCATTAGATGGTAAGTGAGAAAATTTTACTCGATTTCTCTAGGATGTGTTGAAAGTGATGGATTTCATGTTTGGTTTCTTCCACTAGAACGTGTAACCATTCACATAGATTTGAAGCTACCATGTGCATCAAACCAAATCTGGACACTACTTTATGCCGTCCCATATCCAAATCTGTGGTATTCAAAAATATAAACTGCATTTGAATGATTGATAACAGCATCCGGGCAATTGGTGTTACAGCAGTCATTATCGTCGTACAATGGGCTTCACCTGCAAAAGTGAAAACGAAATTCCATATCAATGAGAGATAGTGATTGAAAATCACAGACTGGTCTATGTAAATTCGAAATGAGATACGCAAGAAATGTAACATGAACAATAAATTGAACACTTTATTGAATTGATTCTAATTCAATCATACTCACGATTTAGTTCAAAATATTGTCCAAATTCCAAGCCACTATAAACCATAGTGCCAATCCCAAAGGAAATGGCTCCCACTCTCAAATAAAAGCTACCAAAATGTGTCGTCCTTTTTTTCATCGAATAATCATTGTTTGTTTTTTCGTCTGAAATTCAAATGAAAGTTAGAATATGCACACTTCTAGTGGACATTGTCCGTTATGTATTGAAGCAGGAAGGATAAATAAGGAAGTATTGTGCTAAAATAGCGCAGCTAACGATACTTTTCTGATAAGAATAACTCCAGAACAGAAAAAATTCTACTAACGATAGGTTTTGATCAGCGAAAAAACGGCTCTGGTTCGCATATGTGCGGTATACACGAAAATCACAAATAAAATGCTAACTGTATATAAATACACGTAGAATGACTGGTACACCATCGAAGGGATTTGCGATGTTAAAACTTCTGTCACAGGCAATGCTATTCCAATTATAACTATGATTTTGGCATAAAGTGCGGACAATGACGAGCTCAATGCATCACTGAAATTATTGCAAATGAAAAGGTGATGTATGAACAACAGTTTTTATGTTTTTCATAAGTATTTAATCACTTATAATATATACCTACTCTCCAAATCGTCGATTTTTTTTCATTGACAGCAAGGCGTTTTCGTTGATTGGCACTTCAGGCATATTGTCAAACGATGTTGACCTGTTCAAATGAATAAACCGAATAAATTTGTATGCGTCTATATCAATTTCATGCGTCTAGTCGCATTTACAATCGCATTTTCAAATTATCGATCGATGTTAATCAATTTTCAAGAGCTTAGAAATTTATCACCATGTTAACTTGAAATTTAAAGTGCTAATCAAATACGTACTCTCGTCGATAGCGATTAACGAATTGTTTTGGTGATCGAATTGCAGCCATAATAGCTGACGGTCTTCGTGTTGATAAAATTTCTTGCACCAAAACCGATGGCCGTCGACTTGAACCGGTGGTACCATTGCTGTGCTGCGAACTATTTCCATCGCAATCGAATTCTTCGGGTTTTGTATTGATGGTCACATGCAATTGATTTGGATTCCGTGCTGATCGATTTTTATTTTTCTTCTGTGATGATTCACCATCTTCTGTTTCATTTTCACTGCCCTCTTCATTCATCTCCGACACTCGGGCAAGGCGTTGCGGTGCCATTTCTCTATGTGCGTATGAATATGGAATATTTGACACGAATTCGAAATAAAGACGGCTCTTCTAAACGTATACTGCTCGATCAACCGAACGTTACGGCATTTAAAACTCAACTAAAAGTCTCTCGTACAATTACAAAGCGTGTTACACCTTTTCGCATCAGCCCGTTCACTACCAACACACGGTTGAATTGTTTGTTTTTTTTTCACTTCTGTTTATTCTAGTTTAGTTTTCAATGGACTGAATTGTGTACAAAATTGTAACGGTAAAATCACACAAGCCGCTCACGCTGCTCGTGGTGGTGGTGGTGGTGGCGATGGCGGTGTGAGTACTTTGCAATTGACGTTGAGACATTCGCTGAGTCACGTGAGCAATCAACATTATTTGAGCATGTTATGGATCATTATGTCATTGTATGAAGAGATCAGCGATCTATTAGCACTTATTGGCTCTATTATATTTAATACCGAGAAAATCACTCATTGAATGTAATTTGAGCACACTTTGTGTTGTTGCGGCCTTCCGTTTGTTTTCTTTCTTTCTTCGTTCAATTCGGAGGCGAACACATTCGATAGCTGATACGTCAATTACTCTTGAAATGTTCACTTTTAAGCTTTAAGAAGAGAGACAGCTTTTTTTGACAGGCACAAAAAATATGGGCCTCTCACTTGAGTTCGATAATCCGCTTTTTTAGTCGCTGTTTGTTTGGATGAACCAATTTCAATCTGTGCTTTTATTTACGCAAAACAATAATTTTCATTTTCATATTTCAAATGTCAAGTGCTGAACCATGTTAGAGGTGAGAATAAAATTAGTGAAAAACTGAATACGAAAAAAAACAATCGAAGAAATTCATAGTTTTCGTCGTTTAAGTTCTAGTTGAAACTAAAGTAAACTTAAAGAGTCACATCGAAAATGGCCTAAAAATAGTTGCTTTCGATGTGTTTTACATTTTTTGCATTCATTCAATGTTGAGCACAACAATTGGAAATGAATAAACGTTAAAATGAGTAGAATATTCACAAAACGGTATTGTTGATCATTTGAAGGTAAATAATTCCTTTAGTTTTACCTTTCGCATTCAAATTCAAATCAACATTTTAACATTGGTATCAATGAAAGTGTTCTGTTCAAAATTTTCTCGATTTCTCACCAAATATATTCAAAATTCTTGTTGTTTTTGCTAAAGTGGTCCATGGTGTACGTTTACGTACGCACGATACCACTGCCAAATTCCATTTGCTCCGATGTGTGACTCACACAAGAGACATACATATTCAGGTAATTGAAAACAAGTAACGGCAGTGATGAAATATTAAATAACAATATTAAATGCGCGTAATTGTTGGCGTCAAGTCAAAAACTTCAATTATATTGAGAGATTATTAGCTAGGTTACGAACGCACACGCTCACTCATACAGGCAAACACTTGGTTCGGATTGTAAGCCGTATAAATGATCTGTGTAGTAAATGAGAGTGGCGAAGCGATACAAGAAAAATATGTGCCAAACGGTTGTACACGCAGGTAACACTGTGCAACATTTTTAGAAAAGATTTTATCTTTCAGCGAGCATACTTGCCTATGATGAAAAAATAATACATGAATCGGTTTTGTAAAGTCATTCGCTGTTCGAATTCGAGCCATAAAAACTGCGACTCCCAAAAATACTTCTACTAATTTCTGGAAAAATTGCACGAATAACTTTAAAAATCTTTCACAGAATTTGGATTGTGAATCTGGAATGAACAAATCATTGATTGATTTTACTTACAACATTATAACCATATTTTGAGATGTAAACTTGATATTACTTCTAGTGTCTCGTTTTGTCATTTTCATTGAAACTTTTGTCAGTTCTAGCTCGTGTTTTTAAGAAGACATTGTTTTTGATGCGTTTACAAACGTCTCTGAAATGACAATATTATTCTGAGCGACACATCGGATTTCGGATGAATCTCTAAATATTGTTTTCGGAAAGATCCCTGAGAGAGACAAAATAATTCACATTGGCCTATAAACACGGTAGCTAATTGTGGAAAATTCAGCGAAGAATTAACTCCGCGCAGTACTTTGATCGCATCATAGCAAATCTTGTTGCACTGTATAATTGGAACAAACGAAAAAATAGCGTTTTTACCGAAATTGACAAGAGAAAGGGATTTGAAGTGGAACGAGATTATAAACTATGCCGTTTGCCAGCTTTTTCTTTCGCCGATCAATCTGTAGAAGATTATCTTGGGCCATTCTATAAATAGCGGTTTAACGCGATTACTTTTAATTAACAATATTGGTTCGAGGATAAAAAGCATTATCACGGCAACAAAGTCTCGTCTAACTATATATTCGACTGCTTGTCCCGTTTGCTTGTAAATCAAACACTCGTATGATAAATGGACGATTTTTTAGTTTTAATTGATCACGTTGCATGTTTTATGTGCAAGTTTTTGCATACGGATTTTACTACTGTCGTGGCTACAGCTTTTAACAACATTTGCCCATGGGCTTTTTGATTGGATCTGTTGTTTTTTTTACACAAAAAAAAACTGTTTTTTATCTATTCTTTCCAGTTTTGATCACTTGATTTTTCCATTAACTCCAAAACGGTAGCAACAATTAATTACTGTCATTTGAATGGATTTAATTATGCAGTACGTGGGTAAATCGAGCATTAAGTAGCTGTGCAATGGAAATCGGATTCGCAAAAGTCCATCAATGTTATCACATTGTGATCTGCATTTAAGTGCGCGTTTGGCGCACATTACACATGCATAGCGCGTATTAAATTCACATCGAATTATAGCCGGGTTTTTTTCGCACACTGACACCATGCATTTCCCCGATAGTATCAAATCCAATAATTATCTTTGTGTGACATATTTCACCCTTTGTTTGCTTTTTTTCTCCCTATAATAAAAAAAGTTGATGAACGTAAATCGAAACCGAATTTCGATGGTCGAAATGTCAATCACGATTTTCTCAATCAGCCAATTTCCATATATCCAGCGTTGAAGCAACACAGTTGATAAAAGTCGTCTTCGCTGTACACATTTTATTAATGGATTTTTATGTATGCTTGAAGATAAAATGCGTGGGTTAATTTGGAAGCACTTCAGTAAATATACTTTAGTCAGTACGCTATCTGGAACACTTTTTCTATTATTTTATATCGAAAATTGATACAATTTTTATTGAGTATGTGACAGGTGAATTTCACAAATTCGACGTGTCAACATTTGTTTTCCAAAACTTCGATTTGTTTTACTTTAGTGGTAACACATAGACATCATCCAAATTCTGGATTCATTGTATCCAGTCAAGATAAAAAAAAATCAACAATTAAGTTTAAAAGGTGTGCATTTGATTGAGACTAACGCAACTCAGAGATAAATGCAGTCAAATAGTTACCAAAATTGACAAATTCAGTTTAATACATTCACATTTCATTTCATTTGTTTTTGTTCATCATTTTCCATTTATTTGTACATATCCTTTTAGCATTTAAGTTTCACAAAAAAATTAACTAAATGTTGACTTGGGACTTAACTGGGGACAATAAAAATGAAATCTAACTCTGAAATTATTTTCATTTTTTCAATAAACTCAACATCAACTAACAAAAACAATCATTTTCTGATCAACATCAACTGTTTCCCATTGAAATTACAAAAGTGCAATTTCTAACCGTTTCATTCTAATTTCGAAATTACACTTTAAATTTAATAATAATTCAACCAACGCAGCACCCATTTTCACAGATAAATATTACCTATGTTTAAAAAGACGATCATGACTGTATTGGTTTTTCATATTGTTTGATTGTCGTTGAACTTGTTGTTGTCGTACTGATTAAAAAAAAATTATGCTCAACAACTTGGAATTGGTATATTTAATTCCTGATGGAAACGTTTTTCATTTGAACTTTGATAAAAAAAAAAAATTTCATTTGAAGCACCAATCAAAAGTGCTCATCATCATTTTGTCTGTGCACCGACTTTCAATTTTGTTTGCGAATTTCGTCGATGAGAATGTTTCATTTAAATTTTCCACTGTTGCAGCAGCAACGAATCACCAACGATTCTCTGATCAAAAGTCAAATATAACACAGCGATTCGAGAATCCATTAATAAATTATTCCAAAGTAAAACTAATAAGCACTTGAAAATCCAATTTTTCGGATGATTCGAGAAGTTTTGTGCGATAGAGAGTGTGTGATTTAGCGAACGCGTGCGATATTACTGATGAACGCACGAATAAGATGTTTGAATGAACGCCACAACACTTGATTCTCAGTTTCAATCAATTTACTGCTGTTGCTTGGTTTTTTTCTCTTCGTTTAAAACAGGTTGAAGCTGAACGCCCGTTGTTATGGTTATTTCTTGCTCGTATTTTTGTTTTATTTTGTTCGTCTAGAGTTGTTTGTGTGCGTTTTTTGTTGTTGTTGTTGTTGTTTGTTGCAATGAACGCAGTTGTTGAGTGCACTTGTTTCGATGGAATATGTTTCAGTATGCGCGAAATAAATAAGACACTATGAAAAATGTAGATTTTTTTTCGCTACGTTTGTTCGAAAGGTGTGCGTATGCGAAACCAGTTGGAGTATATAAGTCGGTATGGGGAAGAAAGGAGATAGAGATGGTTGAGGTTTAGCGAGATAGTCAGAATTAAATTTAGAGCTCTAATACTTGGTGTTGTCTCGCCGAACTTTAATGTGATACAGTCGATCGAATGAACATCATTGAATCCAATCTAATGCCTGTTACACTATGCAATCACCAGGTACGCAATTTATCATTGCGTTCTCCATTCAATGTGCGTACATTACGTTTAATCGATACGAGAAAAAAAGAGCGTACATTGTAACGATTGCTTTTATCGTGAACAATAATAAAATGCTCTCAAAGTAAGTTCGACAATTTGTTACCGAATAAATTTAATGGTTTTCAACGAATATATGTATTTAGTGCTGTTTCTTTTTCTCACTTGATAAATGCTACAGAATCAATGCAAATTAACCCAGTGAACGACGCTTTTCTCCATGTGCACGTATTAGTTTTGCATACAATATGTTTTTATGGAAATACAAATGATATAATGGCCGATCAGATTGCGTTGATTAGACGCCGAAATTATGGAAATGGGTTTCGGCGAACGCTTAATGAATAATCATTGTGTGAGCGCGTAAATACAGGCATTTGTTGTTTGAAATGACACTCTGTGTGTTTTGTTTTGTTTTTTTTTTCGTCGTTTTGTCACTGATGTGATTACTTAGAAAGGGAAATTCCTTGGACTGAAAAGTCGAAACATCATCTCATGGGAAATGATTTGCGTTGATTGATTTAATGGCTGTCGGTGTATGTGTGCAACTAATTATGCGTTGAATAAATTTAACTGCTTGAGTTGTACTAATGCTTGCTAAAATGCGTTAGATGTTGCTATTTTGTGTTGTGTTGTTTTGTTGCGTACGTAACAAGTTATCGGAATTTCAAGTACATAGTCTCACTGTACTGCGACACATGCACTCGAAAGATGAAAAATATTTCAAGTTTGTTTTATAAATTGCGTTGATGTCTTTTTTTTCGCAACCATCCACGTTATTTTTTTTTACGCTGGTTTTTTGTTGTCGCTTTTGTATCAACTCGGTTCAATCGAATAATGTAATTGACACATGACACAATTTACTCGACTTTTGAGTCTCGTGCGAATTCAATGGAAGCGAGAGAAGAAGTAAAAATGCTACAAACCGACTCGATACCCAACAGCGACAGCAGCAGCAGCAGCAGCACCAATAATCACATAAGGAATTCTTTTGCCATTCGGTTATTGTTCGTTTGTCGGCATTTTTGTCTTATCAAATGTTATCAGAAATTGCCTTTCCATCAAATGACACTTTTCGCACGATTTTGTTTTCAAGTATTTACATAGCAATCTAGGCATTCAGTATACAGAGCAAAAAAAAAATCACACTTAACTCAAGTTATAGTTCTTTTACGAAATTCGATTACAGCATAGTTCGGAGCAAAATAAATATACTTTGTCAGCCCAATGAGCATTAATTGCAAGAAAGAATCATGACAAGTCAGTTTCGTACAATCGAATGCAAATGAATTGATAGATGTTTCACCTTCAATGGCGAAGCTCGTTCTAAATTATAATTTCGAATTGAATAAATAAAATGAATTAAAACACTTTTTCGATACTTTTGTCGCATACGCACTGCGTGTACTGTATTTGAATGAATTTATCATTTTAGCATTTTTATCCTCCTCGTGTCCTCAAGGCACATTGATTTCTTCTGTTTCGTTTTTTTTTATAAATCACATTATTACTTGCTAATATGCTGTCACATGATTTTAATTCAAGAATTCCACGAAAACCGCAGACACCACATGTAATTTGCAATTACATTCAACTTTCTGTTTAAGATTTTTTTCGGGTAAAAATAGAAGTGCTAAACGATAATATTGCATTGTCAACGAATTTGATTGCCCATGCTGGAATTCCACACTTCAAAAGACTTTGGACTTTTCATTAGGATCAATCGATCCGTAGCTCAAGCGAAAAATTAGCTGAATATCGATTTGGTTATCGATACATTTTTCGAAATAAATTTTGTTATCAAACACCAAACGGATTCATTTCTCTTGAACACTTGTTGTTCACTTTGATCTGCAACATTCTTGTTGGTCAGCGCTGGCTATTCCGTGTGCACTTGAAATTATTACAATTAGCTTCTTTCATTAATGGATTCACAACAAAGACTCTCCGCTCGAGAAGAAAGAGAAAGAGAAAAAAAAAAATTACCTACCAGTAGCACGAGTCTATCTATATATCGTTAATAAAGTCAACATAGAACGATACTAATGAATTGTTCAAACATATTTTTATATCGAGCACCGAGTGTCTCGTGTTAGGCATCGTCAAATCGCGTAGATACGTTGCGCAAAATTGAATTTATTATAGGCAGATATGTATTACGATTTTCTTTCTCTTCCTTCTCTCTCTTCTGTTGTGTGTGTGTGGCGATAATATTTCATTATTTGCGCGAATGACATGTACTTGGCAATTATGACGCCTAATCAAAGCACTAAGCAATCGAACAACTGCTCGCGTTATATTAATCGCATATATGAAATGTTCGATTTCGTTAGTCTGTGCCAAGATCTCGAAGGATAAGCAGAGATACCCCATTCGCAAAAAAAACATATAAAAACAGAATTTTAAATGTATCACAACTGCGAATATTGAAATTGTGCGAATTTTGAATTTGTGCAACATTTATTTTTGGATAGATTGGACGTTTTTCGGTAATTCGAAACCTTTTCAGTCAAATTAAAATATATTTTGTTATCAAAACGATTCAGAAATCAGTGAGAATACACATACATAAACAAATATTTTTATTTAAAATATTTTTCTATAAAAAAATAGTAATTACAAATAGTTTTCTATTAAAAAAGCAATTTAAAAAGGCAAATTTCTGTTTTCAGGTGAACAAAATCCTTGATGATAGTTTAATTTATTATAAAAAGTGTTCTAAATATTTTGATGGATTCGGTGGCAATTGAAAATGAAAAGAATCGTGAGGAAAAAACGGAAGAAGTGCGGCCCTTAGTGCCATGTTTGCTGCAGCCGCCATCGTTCATTGTGCCATCTGTGCGAAATGATTCAAACGGATCGTTAAAACCAGAATCGATTCGGTCCCGTCGAAGCTTTTGTGCTAATTCCGATTTAACAGGATCACTTCGACCATCCGCAGCCGTGTTGGCCATACAACAAGAGCATCGTCGCACATCCAGTACCGGAAATATATTTTTTGAGTATGATTTTCACATTGGGTATAAAAACCCGGGTGTTATGATATTGATTTGTATTTCATCTTATCGATTTTTAGCTTAATCCAAGGTAAATTGTTAGGTAAATCAAAAGACCGTATCGATGTGCCTGATGAAGATGGATTTGTCCATTTGAATGCCAATCGTGAGCATGAGTTTCGTATTAAAAATCGGCAACAAGGTGTCGATGCATTGACCAGTTCGTTATCGGCATTCTACGCCAAATTGATGGTTGTCTTAGGTATCGCATTTCCAATGACGGACGTTCTGTCGATAAAGGCGCCAAATAAATTTTACCAAGGTTTTTATTTGTATCTGTATGTCGGTAGCATAGCCTTTGTGGCATTCATGTACATCGACCGCCTACGGTCACGACGAATGTTCGCAGCATGCAACAGTAAAAACGGTAAGCGAGGATGGTGCCATCATCGTCGATGTTGTTGTCATCGTCACAGCAAATTGATTAACCTAATTAGGTTTGGAAATACACCACAGGCCATAAGTTTGGATACCCCTATGAAACGTTTTTTTCTACGTTTTTTGAACATTTTCACTTGAAATTTAGTATTGGATATGAAAATATATCGAAATTCTGACCGAATGGAAGTTTTGGAAGATAACATTTGGCTGGCCTATGGCCATCTTTTGACCTTTGAGCTGTGGGAGCCAAAATCGAAGTCTTAAACGGGCCATCGGATTAAAAAGTTATATACGCCATTGGAAAGGTCTTGAAAAGTAGATGTGATTTTTGGTATTAAACATCAAAATCGGCCGGCGTTTGGCCAAGATATGGCCGTTTGTAATTTTTGGCCGAAATCTTCAATCAGCCATATCTTGGCCAACAGCTGGCCGATTTTGATGTTTAATACCAAAAATGATACGTACTCTCCGAGACCTTTCCAACGACATATAGCATGTTGAAATTGGACAAGCGGTTTGAAATTTAAAAATTTTGGGCCAAATTCATTCATAGGGGTATCCAAACTTATGGCCTGTGGTGTACATACAATTTTCGTTTTTACACCCTTAGAAAAAGATAAAAGAACTTCGTTGGAAATCAGTCAGGCCAAATCACGACTGGGTAGTTTTTATTTGAGAGTGGGCGCCGTTGCGTTCGGAATCGGTAGTATGGTTTATTCAGGGCTCGAGATTGGACAATATTTTGAATTGAAAGGTATCATGGATTCAAGGAGATAATAACCCTGCATTTGATACTTACATTTCCCTTCTATTTGGTTTTTTTGTCGTCGTCTTCATTGTCGTTCTTTTAGGCGAACAAGGTTGTCGAAATGTGCTAATCGCTTTCACACCAGCCACTCGGATGGTATTATCCATTGTCCAAATGCAGTTTATATTTCTCAATACCAAAGAATTCGAAATGAAGCGCCACAAAGTGATTGTTCGCTTCGGACTGATGCATATGCTGGCAACAAACCTATGCGAATGGTTGTACGTGTTGGTGGAGGAAACCAGACATGAAATTAGCAATAACATAGAAAATATAATCGAAAATGCTACAGGTATTTGTAAATGGTGTTCAACACTTCACAGTCAAGTTGGATCGAATTGCCACAATTATGCTTTCGGTTTTTTCCCATTTTCATTCTGCGTAGGTGCGAATTTGGTTCACTTTGCCCATACAGAAAATGCATTCAACGTAACGACCATTGATGATCGCGTAAAACGTGCAACCGCATCCGAAATTGTTGTTGACTGCCGACGAGTTAACATTATGGGAAAACTACTCAACAACTCATCCCCATTTTTGTTTCCATGCACCATCGAATATTCGCTCATTTGCGCCGTGATTCTATTCGAAATGTGGAAACAAAGCATTAGCATTGGTCAACCGAAGCGATCACGTGATCGAAAAATTTCCACCACCGCACAAAATGCACAACATTTTTCCATAGGTACAATTAATGCGGACGCTTTCGAATCGGTTGCGAAAATTTCTACTAAATTCAGAGGTTTATTTCTCTTTCAGATTGTTCACGCGCACATCACGGTTGGTACCTTGGGGTCAATCAAATTGTCCTTATTCAACTATTTTGAACAATATTTTTATTGTTCCTTCGAATTTCATCAGTTTTTGCTAATTTAAAAAAAAAATTCTTCCATAAGCATAGCATTGCCAATGTATTTGTAATAGAAGAAATTGCCCATATAAAATACATTGGCTACTATCATACTACATTAGTACTATCTATATGGAATTATTTTTTTTCAGTTTCTCTGATTTCTGCTAATTTTACTAGTTTTGAACGAAATATCGCAATTTAAAAAAAAATAAATATCGTGTCTATCCCCTAGGTATGTTCGCTGGCATATTGATAATAGTTTTAACAATCATATCGCTCATCATGTTCTACGTGCTCAACATTCCGCTATACCATACATTGGCCACTTTGGAAGTTACCATTTGCGAATCGATTTTATATGTGTTGACATCGTTCGCCGTTTTGGCTGCGTTCGTGAGGATGCGTGATTTAAAGTTTAGCCAATCTTTTGGTGGCATGCCATTAGACTGTACGCTGTTATTGTTGGCACAATCGGGCGTTTATCTTTACAGCATGTTCAGTATTATTGGATGTTTTTTTTCAATTGCAGAAGGTGGCATATATGGATTAATTTCTGAAATATTCTCTCTCGTTCAAACGTCCATGCAAACGCTGTTCATATTGAATGCATGGTGGCGACGATGTCGTAGCTCCCAGGAGAATCGGAAAAAGCCCGGACGGGAGATTTGTACATTTTTGCTGGTCGCCAATATGAGTATGTGGAGCATAAATGCCCTGGTTAAAAATCGTGCCATGTTTCGTCGTACGCATTTACTATTTTTCGGCGAATGGTCGTGGACAGTGATTACACACGTATCGATGCCATTGGCAATATTCTATCGATTCCATTCGACCATTTGCCTATTCGAAATATGGAAAACCACATACAAAGTACGACACGCAGCTCATCAATCAATCCCACGATAGATTTAGATTATTCTCATGTGCATTTTTACGATTAATTCAATTATCCAAATTGTAGGACTTTTCTTTTAATATATCTATATTGTGTATCTGTATAAATGTATAAATCGTTTTGTTGACACCACAATTAAACCGTTTACATTTTATTGACTAATTACATTTATGTTATTGCCGATTTAATTACAGTAATCGCATATTCTTAAACATATGTCACACAGCACTTCAACTCAACTCACCGTAAAACGTAGATCCCAATCATTCTTTTAGAAGCGCGAATCGATAATGTATATATACATTTAAGCTGATTGATGCGATTTCATTTAAAAGTATCAACGTTGTGCGAAGAGAAAGGCTTCATTTAAATCAACATTTTTATCGGCAATATCACTTACAATCTACCTTATAATATCCTTATATAAAAAAGTGCTTAGACCGTCTTTTTTCCAGTGGCAAAGAGTGTTTTTTTTATTTCCCCTTCTTCTCTTATTCTCTTATAAGCGTTGGCTCCATTTTTTCTCCTTCAATCGAATTTGCAGTAAAAACTAGCACTTTAAATACACGGTACAAAAAAAACCAGTTCTATTTTTGTTTCATGTTATTTCTTATGCGGTAATTTTTCGCTCTCTTCCGTCATTGAACAAGTTGAAAATAAGAATGCTTGTTCGATAGTATAGCGTGCGGCCACTGTTCTGTGATTCTTAATGAAAGCGTGCGCTAAATGGTTTCAAAAAATTTAATTGGCTATGTGCATCTGTTTAATCATTTGAAATGCTATATAAATAACTGTTCAATGGATTGCTGAAATGAATGGAACGTTCTTTTTCTCGCATTGATTATTGACCATTCCTTTTTTTGTTAAGCCATCACTAATTATTTATTTTTGTTGTGGCATTTCGCATTGACCGCCAAATCAAAGATAAATTTCAATGGTTATTTTATTTGAGTTTCGGTTTGACCACTATATATTGTTTATCGATTGGTAATTAGGTGGCTCAAGTGGATTATCACGCACTGTATACAACTTGTGCGTCAGATCTTCTTTGAATCGGCTACCAGTGGAATGTGGAGCAAAGGGATATTCAAAAAGGAAGCATGCATTTGAACAGAATGCAGGTTGCTAGTTGTGGATATGCATGCAAAAAGTGTGTGCAATTTAAAGTTTATAAAAGTCATTTAGAACGAAACGAAACGGCAGCAAGAGAGCACACAGCACAGTGAGATGATGCAAAGTGGAAAATTATTGAATAGAAATGATGAGCGTAAAGAAGAAGAAAGGAATACATGATGAGCGCTGAAGAAACTTCGCAATGAAATGTTAGAAAAAGCTGCAGAGAGAAAGGTGGAGAGAGACGAAGAAAACGGTCTTGCAACACAAATATTGTGTATTTAAAATTAAACGGTGCCACTCGACAACGGGCATCTGCGACGCACACACACACAGTTACTATGCTCCCAGTCCCATCGCAGCAAAGAGATATATCTTTCAATGCTGAAACGTAATCAAGTTTAGAAGTTGAAATTTATTTTAAATCAAATTATTAAGACTAAGAGAGCACTGATGATTGGCAGAGAACGAAGTTTTTCGACCGTCACTAAGAGTGCGTGCGTGCATGCGTGCGCGCGTCATATGCACAAGCATTTCATGCCACCGAAGCTGAAAAAAATAATAAAAGTAATATAAAGCAAAAACAAATTCACCAAATAAGTGCAATGAGGTTTGCACAGTATCTACTAGATACACTAGTAGCACCGCGTCGACTTAAAAGCAAACATTTCTTTGGAAAAAAAAGTAAAGTTTTTTTCCCGTTCTTTTGATCTTTTTGGTCGAGAGACAGGGATTTTTTTGATTTCAGCTAGATTCTTGCAAACTTATTTTTTCCGGCCTGAGACCATGTAAATAAGTTATTTCTTGCATACATTTGTCTGTTAAAATGGTTTTCACCTTTTAGACGAAAAGATTTGGGAGCGAGACAGAAAGAATGTGAACAAAAGCTGAGCGGGAGTGAAGAAGAGAGGAGAGATGAAAGTAAAGAGATACATTTCGAAGTGAAATGGTGCACTTTTAGTCAAGTAGAACTTTTTCTTTCGCCGTAAAACATTTAACCAGTACAAAATTGGTTTGCTTCTTCACTGCGAATCCTCTTGAACTGGTTTCGTTTGAACGTTGATCAAATTGTCAAATATTACATTTCGACACGCATTTAAATCCATTGCAATGTGCCATCGATTCAATGAAGCCCACGGCAATTCAATTGTTGCACTACATTAACCGGATATCAATTTCCCCGTAATCAATTGAATTTTCTCGCACAAAATCAAATGAAGCAGCAAAATGAGCTTCACCTCAGTCAACTACAAATTGACAAATGGGATGCGTTTTCCATAAAAACATTGTATCTGGATGAATTGAGATAATATTCTGGAGGAATAGAGACAAGGGATGCATTGAAATAGTGAACAAGCAAGTGCTTTTCCTTAATAATTCTTTGACGAAATTTCATTTATTTTGTTAATCCAAAAATAAGATGAATATTCAAATATTGGTAAATTTTATAATGGTCTTACTCCGAAAATGGAAATTGAAGCAACACTCAAAAGTTAAGTGTGTGAATATCAACGGAATAAACATTCAATTTTTCAGTGTGACCCAATTGTGTGATCCACCATGTGCTTCATGCATTATTCACCTGCTTTGCCGCAGTATTCCTTTGCATACGGCCTAATAGCACATATTGAAAGCGGCGAAAGATATATTCATGTGGATTTAATAAATGTTTGATTTCGGCTAATCATGAAAAAAAAGACCATGCAGCTCATTCAAAGTGTATGCTGCCAACTTCTTCAGCAAATAAAGAGAGTCCGGGCGATGAGTAGAACGACCAACGCTAGGGGAGTAGAAAAAAATTTATTTAAAACATTTCAAGTGGAAATATTCACGTGCTCATAACTCCATACAATGGGTTCACACCCTTTTCTAACGCAAATTAATTCTTCTAGCTGTTTCATTTTCTCTCTCTCTCTCTCTCTCTGTGTGTGTGTGTGTATGTGTTGTGGCTTTGCATAATATGCTCACAGTTTTATTTATACACCTTCATGTTATAAATAAATATGGATTTTTATGATGTGTTTTAATGAACAGCGCACATATTCATTATTATGTGTGACACTGTCATTCGTTGCTGTTGATTTTTCTTTTTCATACTCATTCTACGCAATGGTTAAAATGCTTCAATTTTCAATATGGATTGAGGTTACCATTAATTTGGGTTTTTCCCAATCCGTACGTAATCTTATTCATCATTGTGTGGTGAATAGAATGAATTTGTCGTTACGGTTGTACATCTCTCCTGTAGAAATTCACAACGTATTGTCGTTCCCTGTGTAAGCTTATTTTCCGAATCGGTAAACGAAACTCGTTTTCCCTCTAATTAGGACCACATAGAACTTAAACATTACCTCTATTCAAATGAGCATACGAATTTATGGCCTGGTTCAAGAAAGGTTTAAAATGAGCATTTGCAAATCAATGTATTAACACACGTCGAAATATATGAGCCGAGTTTTTCTCGTTTGAATTCAAACACATGACAATTTGTTCACACATTGCTCAACCACTTTGTAATTCGAATTGAATTATAGATTAACAAGCATCAAACCGCAATGTTGTCTACAAACACCCTATAATGCTTTGTTTTTACCAGACTCTTTGACGATACCTGCTATCTCTCTATCTATTTGACATGGAATGATGGCAAAAGACAGAACTATGCAGCATAAAATGAAGCGATGATGCTATTCCGAAAAGGTGCAGCATTGGAAATAAGTTCTGAATTTTCGGTATTTGATGCATATCTTTCAGTGCATCGTTTCCATTTCACAAACAAGCATTTCACACATACATTTACCCGCACACACGGATTCATTTATAAAATACGTTTTAATGATATTTATTATTAAAATAGCTTTTGCCACAAATTAATTTAAACTATTTTTGGGGCAATAAAAGTGAAAAATGCCATCTAATAGTAAAAGTATTTAATATTGTTTACCCATTCACTCCACAATATTTGAAATGATGGCTTCACTAAAGCTTTTTGGCGCTCTTTGTGTGTGCGTATGCGAGCGAGCGAGCGATTGATGTCATGTTTTATGTTCGACATTATCATTGAGGCGCCTAAAATTCACATCGTCACTTTGTGAATTCGAATCAATTGTGGTGTCGCTCTACTTTTTCCATCCGTTGTTTTCCATTCGGTGCGAGTAAACAAACCCGAACATATAAATTCATTGGGCAAAAATGACAAATGCTTTTTACTTGTGTGCCATTTGCCATACGCGCAAGCATAATGTCATTATTGACATTGGTTTTGCGTGTTTTGGCACTGCAATTATGCTTGACATGGATGAATATATTTTCGATATTTTTTTTCGTTCGTTCGTTCGAAATGATGCCAGTAAAGAAGACAACCCATTATGGCAGAGGCGAAACGCATAATGGCATTAGCATATAATAAATTAATTAAATTTAGCCCCTTTGTGAATGTGAATAATTTGGTTTTTCACCATCATTGCATTTGGCCATGATAATATTTTGTTGGGTTGGAAAATATGACAATTTCAACGCATCCGAATACTTTGAACGCAGTTCATGGTTCGAATCGGTATTGTGATGCACCAGCATGAAGGTATTTGAATTGAGTATTTTCCTGAAACGGCTCCAAAGGAATGAAAGAAAATGCTAGAGAATTGATGAAGTTTGCATTATTTCCTGATATGTTTTAAATTTCCTTTGATGTTTGCCTCTACACAGTATGTTCACGGCACGGTTCTGGTATCTGGTTGATTAATTAGTTCGTTCCGGTCGATCGTTCCTATCGATTGGCGAATTGTTGATTTGACCACGCAGAATGCAGGTTTCGTCGACAACGAACTTATTTAAAATAGAGAGCCCGTTTGCCGCGAAACCCGGTTCATACGTAGCGTTCGTTCGAACAATGTCGCTTGATTGGGTCATCAATTTCCACGATCCATTCTCCCATCCGTTGATGAAGTTCGAAGAGCTGGAAAAAAATATAACAAGCATTCATTTAAGCAAATTCCGAAATACTCACGATTTCAACTACTTCCTCATTCACTATAGTTGTTAAGTAGCTACAATAGACTCCTGATATACAGTTTAAAAAATCATATGCAAACTGTCAGTTCTCATATTGAAAGCCTTTTATTTTTGTGCAAATAGCATTTACAATGCGAAAAGTTAACTTTGTCGCTGCATAATGTTGTTCGCACTTACTTCGAACAACACATGTTAAAATACAGTTTGACCTCTTTTTTCATCCTCGTCTAATACCATTGATTTTATATGTAAAATAACAAAAAGAAACGACAAAAGTGACCTCTCGTAGCGGCACAGTTGAAACTAACGAAACAAACACAATTGAACATGTCATTTTCATGTTCAGTGTTGGTTCTGTTGTTTACCGTATAGCCGGAGAGAGATGTCTACAGCTTAGTGGCGTTGAATGACATTCAACACCCATGTCTTTTTTCTTACACATATTCTTGAGATACCCATCACGAAACGCATCATATCGTCTCTCAAGCAGTAACAAATGCGATGTCAAAAATTCATGGACACAGAACAAATGTGAAACCATTTCAAGTCGATTCGATGCTATTTATGTGCTGAGTGCTTATAAACCAAAACAAGAATCTTTTCACTGGAATTCTGTTTGAAATTATACCTTTCGACTATATAACAGAATTTTTCATCTATGTACAGTTCATAATCAGCCCACAATGACAATCAGCACTTGGTGCAGGAAAATATGTGTATTCGAAAACAGGAAAGTAAATATAAGTGAACATATTTTTTCACGTTTTGAGTGAAAATGAAAACAAACATTCAAACAACATAGCATTGTGGATGATTGAAGCGAAAGGTGATGGACAAAAATGAAAATAGAAAAGCAAATATACGAGAGAGAAAAAACGGGCAATGATGATGATAAAGAGGAAAATGCTAATGTAGAAAATCGCAAACAAAACAAACACAGGGAATGTTCATAACTTTCTCGTCGCAATCGCATGTGATGGTTCTCGAATCGGTTCCGCTTCGCACACACACCACAATTCTGTACAAACAAATTTTCGATGAAAATGAATTAATGAATGAAAATGGGGAACATTAACTGGTTTTATTTTGCTAATATTTGAAAACAACCTTTTTCAAACAAAATGTTATGAGCAAAATGAAAGTTATTTGTGGATTTTGATGACCCTTGTTTACATAAATTATGGCCATTTTTTACAAAAAGTTTTGAATAAATCTGTTACAATCTATTTTAAAAAAATATGCTCATTTGGCATAGCATTTCATCTATAAAATGAATTTCAGAATTAATTCGATGAATAACATTGATAAAATATCAAAATTTGGTCTCAAGCTGTCCAAAGGTTGATATTTTATTGTTATTGTTCAGTGCCGACACATTTGCGTACTTTATACAAATGAAAATCATGACAGAAATTTGTTTTTCTTGATAACATGACATCAGAATTGTATGAATCACAAGTGTATGCTACTTCATTTTTTATGGCAAAAAATGGGGATTTGGTCCATCTGCCATGCATATAAAAGTCGATAAAAACCGATGCATTTCAGTGTCTTCAATTGAATCGGTAAGAATTATCTTGACCTGCCAAATTGAGTGAAAATAAATGTGAAACATAGAGTTTTTTTTATACGGACTTTACAACAACAACTCCATATAAAAAAACTCTATGTTTCACATTTATTTTCACTCAATTTGGCAGGTCAAGATTATTCTTACCGATTCAATTGAGACAAGCGAAGAAAGTAGCAAATCGAAAGCAAGCCTAAACATGAAGTTCGTACTCGTAGCAGCACTTGGCGGGATTTTGATTTGAGGTAAGCCACTTTGAAATTCGTCAACACTTACACTTATCTATAGTTTCAATCACTCAATTTTTCACCGAAAAATTCGTTTTGAGTTATTTGAACAATTGAAGTCAAATGGAAGAATCAACATAATCAAGGCCATTTTATAATTGACGGCCTGAAAAGAAAAACCTTTCCTACAAAACCTGTGCGCAGAACACAAACACAGAAACTTTTTAGTCAAAAGGCAAACAGCAAATTTGCGAGCGCAAAAACCTAATATATTTACAGCGAGCGCAAAAGTATAACAAGCCTACTAGCATGCAAACTCCGTATAAGTAGGCCTGTTATGCTTTTGCGCTCGCTGTAAATATATTAGGTTTTTGCGCTCGCAAAGTAGTTCGATCATTAATCAACGATTTTGGAGTCATTTTTGTGGCGTCTCCACTCGCATTTAATTTCCATTCTAGAAGCTTGCTTGTCAAAGTTCAAACATCACTGCAAACATATGGAAGTGGAGGAAATGACGCCAAGCTGCACGAGGTTATTTGCTGTTCGCCTTTTGACTAAAAAATTTCTGTGTTTGTGTTCTGCGCACAGGTTTTGTAGGAAAGGTTTTTCTTCCCAGGCCGTCAATTTACTACAGGAGTTGGAGCGTCACCGTTCGTAGAAGAGATGGAGATGCCTTTTGAACGAGAGCCTCTTGAAGAAGGCTTTATCAGCTTCAAACAAGGAAATTTATCAGCTGCTAACGAGGTTTTATGTTCGATCTGCAGAATTGTTGATGTATTCCTTAAAAAACAAATTACTGAAGAAACTAGAGTAAGTAATTTTCAAGAACTTCTAAAATGACCAGCTCGTTAATTCATTTTCATCGTTTTAATTGTTCCCTTTAGAAAGAAATCATATCTATTCTAAGAGATCAGTGCAAGAAGGTTGACAAGATCTTCCCAACTTGTGAGGAAATTGTCAAAATGGAGGATGACGACCTTGAGTTGCTGATTAAAAATGAGCCCGAAGTATTTTGCGAGAAACTTATGGTTTGTTAAAGAATCAGTATGAGAATGCAAATTAAAGGCAAACTCTTTCGAGTAATTATCGCCAAAAATGGATACGGCACAAATATGAAAGCCTGTTCCAATTATTTTTTTTGCAAAAATAAAGATCAAATGACATGTCTACATTTGCTTGTTTTACATTGATTTGGAAAATTCACGTGTTATGAAGAGGGTATTGTGCGCAAAGTTATTGATTTCTATTCTAAGAAATCACTTCAGAGCGACTCGAAAATACTTTTTTGCATGTTCAAACGAGATTTTATGTGCAAATTGAAATTTATTTGTGGATTTTTGATGACCTCTGTTTACATAAATTATAGGAATTTTTCATTGTATAGAAAAATGTTCAAATGAATCCGTTTTTACAATCTCTTTTCATAAAATATGCTCATTTGAACTCAGCATCGACATAGCCTTTTCATCTATAAAAAAGATTTCCAGCGAATAGATATAGCACAGTTTTTATAAAGAAGCTAACCTTTAACTTCAATCCAATCACATGGCATACATTAGCCGGTTATCGTCACATTTTTCTCATTCAATCATGTAATATTTCATAATGTAATACGTGACCGATTTATTTGTCAGCGTTACTATATTGGTATTTGAAAAATATGGCATGATATCAATACGAAAAAAAGACACTAAGAAAATTGATTTACGCGATAAAATCGATTGTAATTTTTGTTATTATACCTGGAAGGAAAACTAAAGAAAAAATTAAACATTGAATAGAACGTTATAGTTTTCTTTGCTCTGTTTAAAATTCAACAATAAGTTCAAGTAATTATCTCCGACTCTTGAGAATGAAAAAAAGAATTTGTGCGTGCAAATAAATGTGTACAAATTAAAATTGGAGTATTCCACTAAATCTTATTCTCTATTTAATCAATCAAATTCATTCGAATGGAAGTCGAAGAGAAAATGAAACGTTGGTCTCTGGTTTGGTCGCTATGTTTGTGTTGCTCTTTATGCTTCAGCGACGTGTATGTGTAGTTTAGTGTCAATAGTAGAAAATTCGGTGGATTTTCCCACCCAAAATCAATCAACAACTCCAGTGCAGTTCTTTCGTGTCCGAGTGTTTGACTCAATGAAAAGCTGGTACAAACGATTCGTCGATGAATGTGTGCTTTTTGGGCATAAGTGCAGATGACTTATCCGAATTGACATTTATGTTTGTTGTGACCGACAAAAATAATAACATTTCAATGCGATAAAAGTGTCATGCGATAAGACCATCTCGATTGTGAAAACAAAATCAAATAATGCCATGCCATACCCGGTGTGTCTGTGTGTCTGTGCTCGTTGTGTGCATAATGCACTTCTATGTTGATTCACCAATAAATTCAACGGGGGTCATTCGGCCATAAGTCTTGTCTCAACACATCGGTAAACACACTTTACCATCGACACAACAATGGCCCAAACGAATGAACGATAAATTTACTGTGACAATGGAAAAGGCAAAATATATATTTCACTTTGGCAACGACACCGAATCATCTTATTTATTTTATGTTCAAGGATGGCGATGGCGGATTGTTTGTTCTGTTTCTTTTCTTTTCTTCTTCCATCTCACTCTCTTTCCGTCGTTTTTCGTCTCCAAATACAGGTCTAGTTGCAGTTTCTACTCGAGATAGAGGATGTCAGGTAGAATTTTGTCTTTTCACAACAGAAAAATATCCATATTTTTCCTCTTAAATTGGTTTGGTAAGATTGCATTGAATGGACAAAAATCAACGTCAAAAAACAAAGTTCAATTTAACTTTGTTAGTCCATATTGTGTCAGTGCGCCGTTTGATGGTGCAACCGGAAAGAGGTAGGAAAAAACGGGAAAGTTTTAAATGGTAGATCCCACTAAATTGAAATTCATTTGCATAAATGCAAGCAACGCAATTCATTGCTTTTGGAATTAAAGTCGCACAGCAACAATAAATTTTTGGTTTTTCTTAAGCTCATGTTCTTTTTGTTTATTGTTCGGTTTGTGCACAGAAAGTAGAAGAGATAGAAAAAAAAGGGCCGCAATGGCACGATGCACGATGGTCAGGTGTGAGTTTTTGAAGAAAAACGCCAAGCTATAGTTTCGTGTTTTGCAACCAAAAATAGAGAGTATTTTCAATTTTCTTCGTCGCCACAGAAAAATAATAATAATCTAACAAGACGAAAACTTTCTGGGCGGATATAAATAATCTTGCTTATCTTCCCACGTTGTTGTGAACGCATTAGTGTTTTGGTTTTTTTTTCCACTGTTGTTATCCATAACTTAAATTCAGCAGAACCGGAGAAGAAGAAAAAAAAGTGCCGAAGAAAAGGGAACACGAGCTACAAATCGGTATAACTGTTGCTTTCCGTGTAAATGCCGCAAATAATCTTCCGGTTACTGTTTAATTTTGATCAACGGAAAAGAGATAGAGAGCAAGAAGCATAAATGCTTCTGGTTTATACACAAGTTTTTCTGCTTGGTCACCATTGAATGGATCATTTCAAGTTGGTACAAAAGAGTTTTCGAATAAAAAATTGTGTATGTATATGTGCACGCTGTGCAGTGGAAATAAAGCTCAAAAAGCAAAAGGTACGGTTGCATCTTCATGGTCGCTGCGTTCATTTCGATTTAAGCTAGCCTGATAAATTTGACTTTTCAATTGCAGTTTGCAGCTTGTTTTCGGGTTGATTCTATACACTTGTTGTACAAACAAAATTGAATAACAAAACAGACGAACGAAGAAGAGGGCATCGATGGCGACAACTGTGGCGAACGTGAATTTCAACTCCGTGTTGATTCCGGTGCTACTGTGCTCAAAAATGTTTGCTGTGCTCACCGAGCGCATACATCTCCATTTCTTATTTGAGCCTTTGACTCATTCTTACTGGAGCACTCTTCCATTTTATTACTTTTGTCGTCTGTGAAATTTCACATAGTTTATAATCAAATAGACAACAGAACTTCTTTTTCGATGTGTACTTTTGTGACGAAAGCGAACACAAAATTGCTGATATACACGTTTGGAATTTTTTGGAAGAATTTCAAAAGACCCATAATAACTTGTGTGCGAGTCACCTCTCAAGCATTCCAATTGCTGATATTGTTACAATTCAGTGCCGACGACTCATTGGAGAATTTTTTGGGATAATTATAATCATACCGAAACTTCGGTTTTTTTGGCAACATGATAATGAAAGCATAAGTGATTACATATGCTGTTTCATTTTTGGTGGTAAAAAATGGGGATTTGCTCTTTCTGCCATGCGTATAAAAGCCGATACAAAACGGGAATATATCAGTGTCTTGAATTGGAACAAGCGAAGAAAGTAGCAAACCAAAAGCAAGCTCAAACATGAAGTTCGTACTCGTAGCAGCACTTGGCGTGATTGTGATTTGCGGTAAGCCACTTTGAAATTCGTCAACACTTACACTTATCTATAGTTTCAATCACTCAATTTATTATCGAAAAATTCGTTTCGAGTTATTTGAAAAATTGAAGTCAAATGGAAGAATCAACATAATCAAGGCCATTTTTTTATTCACTACAGGAGTTGGAGCTATCAGCATCGAACAAGGAGCTTCATCAGATGTTGATGAGCTTATATGTTCGATCTGCAAAGATGTTGATGTATTCCTTAAAAAACAAGTTACTGAAGAAACAAGAGTAAGTATTTTCAAGAACTACTAAAAAGACCAGCTCGTTAATCCATTTTCACCATTTTAATTGTTCCCTTTAGAAAAGCGTTGTATCTTATCTAAAAGATCAGTGCAAACTGGTTGAGAAGGCCTTTGCAAATGCTTGTAACGAAATTGTCAAAATGGAGGATGCAGATATTGAGGCGTTGATCAAAAGCAAACCCGCAGCATTTTGCAAGACAATTTCTCTTTGTTAAAGAATCAGTATGAGAATGCAAATTCTATAATAAATTCAAGGCAAACTCTTTCGAGTGATTATCGTCAAAAATGGATACGGCACAAATATGAAAGCCTGTTCCAATATTTCTTTTTGCAAAAATAAAGATCAAATGACATGTCTACATTTGCTCGTTTCATTTAGTTACTTTTTATTTTTGTACATGAACCATAAAAGCTACCAAAAATACGTTGGAAATCTTAACAGTTTTACCTATTTTCAAATCAGTGAGAATTTGAAACGTCGAAATTCATTTATCAATATTGATATACTTTATATATAAAGTAATTTTAAACATCGAATCAACATTAGCTTATGTGTCACTAATCAAACACTCCTTCGCTCTTTTTCTCTTTTTCATTTTGACCAATCGAATTTATCTTGAAACTTATTTTGATGTAACGGCGGTGATATCCCATTTCTATTGAACCCCTGATCTTGCGTCAGAGAAACGTAGGCTATTTGTGTGGAACACGTTATTTTAATCTGATTTCGATAAAAATGGTTGATTCAAAAGGATTGATTAAAAGCAGCAGAAAAGAAATATTTTAATACCGTTGTTGAGTTACACAAAGTAGAAAAAACCCGAGAGTCATCAACGCTGTTCTAAATAATTACATTTTCTTTCTCGAATGCAAAAAATTGTGGATTTTAGACAAAAAAACACATGTGTATGAGATAGTTTACAATAGTAGTCATATGAATAAAATTCATGACTCATTATTAGTGTTGTTATGTTATCAATGCTAAAAAATGAAACAAATTACATACGTAACAAGTACTTTTCCGCCAGCTTTGTAAAAGTGTTGTTCCCTTACATTTGTGTATGTTACCTTAATATCTCTGAAAGCATAATTTTTCTATCATTTATTTGTCCATAATATCTTTTTTGATGAAAATAATTTTTGTATTAAATCTTAAACAATCACAAAAATGACATGCGTTGAATAAAAATGCAATTTTTAGTGTTAAATATCACAAGTTAAAAACATTATCACGAATAATTGCGATGTTTGACAAATTATTCAGAAGCGATTCCGATTTGAGACAACAATGATATGAATTCTTTGCTATTTATTAAAAAAATTCTGGGTATCAAACCAATAATTTTCCTAACTAACTATGTTCGCGGAAAAGTAATGAGTTACAACATGAAAATGGCATTAATAAAAAGAAATGTGAGATGATAATAAGTTTGTGCCGTTGCTTCAGAAATAGTTTATGGATGAATATTAGGATTGTAATGGTAATAAATGGGGATTTTTTCCTTTAGCTATGCATATAAAAGCCGTTACTAAACCAGTGTATTTCAGTGTCTTAAACTGAGACGAGCGAAGAGAGAAGAGAACTAAAAGCAAATCACAGGATGAAGTCGTTACTCTTATTAGCACTTGGCGTGTTCATTATTTGTGGTAAGCTATTTCGAAATTCGTTAACCCTTCAACTGCTTTAAACCAATTTCACACAAGTAATTTATCACCGAAAAATGCAATTGTGTTTCAATAAATGAAGTCAAATGAATGTATAAATATCATAAAAATGATGTTTTTTTTGTTTATTCGTCATAGGAATTGATGCGTCACCGTTCAACATCCAACACGGAGGCTCGGCTCTCACTGTTGATGAAGGTCTTAAGGTGAGGATATGATTCATAGTGTTAGACACAAGTAGTCTCTATGTAACTAGTTTCTCCAATTGTTTGAAACATCTTCCTGTATTCACTTTTATACTTTCAAAAATTCAAGTTGAAAAAGATTTTTTTTTAAATTTATCATCACCGTTTCAATCGCTTTTCTTAAGGCCGCCGTAGTAAAGGCATTGCAGGAAGAGTGTTCGAAGGCAGCAGATAAGGCTACTTGTGACAAGATTGCCAAAATAGATGACAAAGAAATTGTGTCCTTCATCAAAGATCATCTTGTAATGCAATTTGCAAGAAGTTTGAAAATTTGGGAACAGTATAAGAATGCAAAATCCATGACAAATTGAAGAGAAACTCTTTCGAGTAGTTGATGCCCAGAATGATGACGGCGCAAATGAAAGCCTGTTCAAATATTTTTTTTTTCTGCAAAAATAAAGATCATATGACATGTTTACATTTGCTTGTTTTATTATAGTAATTTAACTCTTGTCCGCTGTTCCAACAAAATTACGTATCCGTTGCTACAGTGTCAATTTGACATTTCATATTTTGCAGCAATAAAAATATATCTTGATGTTAACTTTTGTACAAACATGTAGCCAAGCTATACAATTACAACAACAATAACACGGACTGCAATAGCAATGTTAGCCCGTTGCACCGTTCGATTACACCGTACAACAAATTTCAACTTTTGCTCTCACACATGGACACTTTAAATGCAGGATGTTAGGGGACCTAAAAACAAACAAAACTGCTTACTACGATTTCTCCGTTGACGTGGTAATAAGAAAAATATCGACCTATCAAATATTTTGTGTGGGCTAGGATTTTTAGACTTTTATATCATCATGTTTTGGTCATTAACTCAACTATTAATGATGTTATTGACTTGAAATCTTTTTTCATTTCATAGAAAAGAGTCAGAAAAACAAATTCCGTTGAAAAAATATGCCAAAAAATCATCTTTGGGTGGTTTTTTTGACCAAAATATCGAAAAAATGCCATTTTTACTAGTTTTTTGACCAAAACGCGCACGGTTTTTCATTTTTCCTGATTATTGTGCTACCAAAACTGTAGCCAGAGGTGAAACAAATATTTTTCCATCAAATACTAACCCAAAATACCATATCTAGTCGACTTGCATACTACATAACCGCTTATTGATCTCTATCCGTGAAACCAACCAAAAATCAAAAATATCAATTTCGGGTTTTCTGTTTATTTTCCCGGATAATTTTATTGAAAATGGTTCAAAACTACAAGAAACACTTAAAATGATACGATTATAATGATTTTTACATAGTTAAAAAAAATTGTCGATCGCTTTTTCGTTTGTGCTGATTGGGATCTGTGTCACGACAAATTGAACATACATGAAGTGAATTTTTAATGATATATTCACTTTCATTTCTTTGAACGCAGTCAACATTTCAGCAACAATTTCTTTATAATTCTCTGCTCTGTTGTTTCCCAAAAAGTTATTGCAGACATCGCGAATTCCTTCAAATGCCCTCTTTTGGATGAGAGTTAATAGATCAGAGAATTCGGAGCATTCCAAAAGCTGTCTAGTTTGTGGACCATTCAGTTTACCTGGGCATTGAGAGTACATTTGTTTTATGAGAAATTACCAGAGATTGCATGCACCACACAGCTATAGTTGGATGCGAAAAAAGGTAGCTTTTTTTAGTCAATAGTTCGAGATATTTTGAAATAGAAGCTACCGCACAATTTGTTCCGAATTATTCTGAACGATCAATTGGATTTTTAGAAGTAGAGGGCAAACGTTATATATGGATTTGTCTCTTTTTCATTGATTGAACGTTTGGATACCACTTCCAATACCACGTTTGGATCCAATTGATCGTTCAGAATAATGTTTGAAATTATAAAGAAATTGTTGCTGAAATGTTGACTGCGTTCAAAGAAATGAAAGTGAATATATCATTAAAAATTCACTTCATGTATGTTCAATTTGTCGTGACACAGATCCCAATCAGCACAAACGAAAAAGCGATCGACAATTTTTTTTAACTATGTAAAAATCATTATAATCGTATCATTTTAAGTGTTTCTTGTAGTTTTGAACCATTTTCAATAAAATTATCCGGAAAAATAAACAGAAAACCCGAAATTGATATTTTTGATTTTTGGTTGGTTTCACGGATAGAGATCAATAAGCGGTTATGTAGTATGCAAGTCGACTAGATATGGTATTTTGGGTTAGTATTTGATGGGAAAATATTTGTTTCACCTCTGGCTACAGTTTTGGTAGCACAATAATCAGGAAAAATGAAAAACCGTGCGCGTTTTGGTCAAAAAACTAGTAAAAATGGCATTTTTTTCTCGATATTTTGGTCAAAAAAACCACCCAAAGATGATTTTTTGGCATATTTTTTCAACGGAATTTGTTTTTCTGACTCTTTACTATGAAATGAAAAAAGATTTCAAGTCAATAACATCATTAATAGTTGAGTTAATGACCAAAACATGATGATATAAAAGTCTAAAAATCCTAGCCCACACAAAATATTTGATAGGTCGATATTTTTCTTATTACCACGTCAACGGAGAAATCGTAGTATGCAGTTTTGTTTGTTTTTAGGTCCTCTAATATCCTGCGTTTAAAGTGTCCATGTGTGAGAGGATGTGTTGTACGGTGTTATCGATCGCTTGGATATGCTCTTGTTGATCAAATCGATTGAATCAATTTCGTAAGACATTAGGAGAAGTAAGAAAGTTTACAATTTCACCCATTTTCAAATCAGTGAATATTTGAAATGTCGAAACTCATTTATTACCATCAAAATGCTCATATTTATCAATTTTTAAAAATAGAAACAACATAAGCTTATGAAACTTTTCTCACTCCTTTTTTTCTTTTTTTCATTTTATTCTTGAAACTTATTTTATGTAAAGGCATTGATATCTCATTTCTATTGAACTTTCGAAATGTAGGCTATTTGTGTGGAATGCGATATATTTCAATTTGATTTCGATGAAAATGGTTTATTAAAAGAATAACACTTGATTAAAACTAGCGGAAAAGAAATATTTAAATACCATTTTTGAGTTACGTAATGGGAAAAACCAAAAAGTCATCGATGCGTTTCTGAAGAATTAAATCTTTTTTCTCGGATGCAAAAGTGGATTTTGGAAGAAAGCTAAATGTAAATGGTATATGAAAACGCATGTATATGAAACCATTTACAATAGAAGTCATATGAATAAAATGCACATATGACTGGTGTTGCTATGTTATCATTGCTACAAATTAGGTTACACGATAAAAAAATTTATTAATAAAATGAAATGAGAGCACGGATTGCGAAGTGATTTTAATTTTGTGCCGTTGCTTAAGAAATAGTTTGTGGATGAATATTAGGATTGCAATGGTAGTAGATGGGGATTTTTTCCTTCTACCATGCATATAAAAGCCGTTAACAAGCCGGTATATTTCAGTGTCTTGAACTGAGACGAGCGAAGAAAGAAAAGAGTGAAAAGCAAATCAAAATATGAAGTCATTAATCTTATTAGCACTTGGCGTGTTCATTATTTGTGGTAAGCTACTTCGAAGTTCGTTAACCCTTTAACAACTTGAAACCCTTTTCACACAAATTATTTATTGACGAAAACCTCATTTGTGAGATTTCAAAAATTTAAGTCAAACCGAAGTATCAATATAATCTGAGCGATTTTATTTTTGTTTATTTGTTACAGGAATTGAGGCATCACCGTTCAACATCAAAAACAGAGGTTCACCTCTTACTGACGCGAAGGAATGTCAAGCCTGCAAGGACATTGCAGCATATCTTAAGGAGGAGGTTGATGAAGGCGATAAGGTGAGGATATGAATCATTGTGTTAGACTAGTCTCTATAACTATCTTACTTTTAAGAATTACACTTAAACATACTTTCTAAATTTATTTTCACCGTTTCAATTGTTCTCTTTAGGATGATATAATAAAGGCCATAATGGATGAGTGCTCTCGTGTAGAAGATAAGACTGTTTGTGACAAGATTGCCGAAGCAGATGACGAAATAGTTGAATTCTTCATCAAAAATTCACCCGAAGCAATTTGCAAGCAACTTAAATGCTGTTAAAGAATCAGTATAAAATAACAGATTCTATACTGAATCAAAGGCAAACTCTTTCGGAGATTTAATGCCCAAAATGACAATGGCACAATTGAAAGCCTGTTCAAATATTTCCTTTTTGCAAAAATAAAACTCATATATGACATGTCTACATTTGTTTGTTTCTCTTTCACTTTTCGATTAACACTATGATTGTTCTTGGGGCACCCAGGGCCCCCAGCGAACTTTAAAGTTGAATAAAATTACTAAACAAAGTATAAACCAACCGGAGTTAAGTCTCATTTTATAGATTGAACATTTCTTTACACGAATGAAAAAAAAAACATATGCATATGTGTGAGTATGTGTAAAATACAGCCTGCCGCAAAACATGTTACGCGGTTGTTCTTGGGGGACCACAGGGCCCCATGGCTATTTTATATTATAACTGGACTATGATAAAAGATATCGACTTGATGTCTGTGGCGAAGTTGTAGTACTCAAGCTGCTCTACAACTTTGCCGAAGACACCAAGTCGTTATCTCTTATCAGTTTTGCGGAATACGCGAGAAACCGCAGAAAACCGCGAAAAAACGCGTTTTTTCCTTATCATTTTTCACGGAACTGATAAGAGATAACGAGATGGTGTCTGAGGCAAAGTTGTAGTTCTGGTCGAGTACTACAATTATTCCGATTCATTATTTCGTTATCTCTTATCAATTACGCGAGAAACCGCAAAAAACCGCGAAAAATTGCGTTTTTTTCCTTGTCGTTTTTTCATGGAACTGATAAGAGATAACGACTTGATGTCTATGGTGAAGTTGTAGTACTCAAGCTGCTCTACATTTCTGTCGAAGAGGCAAGTCTCTTACTTCTTATCAGCTTCACTAAAACGATGTGGGAAAATTTTGCGATTTTCGCGTTTTTTCGCGTTTTTCGCGGAACTGATAAGAGATAAGCAATATTTGTTGAGCCAAAATTATAGCAAACTTTGAGTATTACAGTCCAGATTTCATATGAAGTATCTTGGGGGCCCTGGAGTCCCCCAAGAACAGTAATATGTTGCAAATATGAAGAACAGTCGTAGTGTTAATCAAATCAATTTGTGGTAAAAAAGGTGTTTAAGCACAAAGCGTTTGATATTTACTTGTAAACAATTATTTGAGAGCGATTTGCAATAGTTGCTAATGTCCCGTATTTTAACCACGGGCACTTCGGAAAATGGGTTCATTTGAAGGTGAATTCTTTCACTAAAGCATGGGTCGCATGAATCTTCTCTGCGCTTTACATCGGAGTTGTAGTGAAGTTAAATCACGAACCATGATATACTCGATTAAATCTAAGACAAATCCGCTAAAACAGTTTTTGGGAAGACAGAAGAAAATAGTAGTTCTTTCTTCATGTCGAATTGAAATTTCGAGAAAAAAAGAAAAATAAAGTATTTCGATATATATTAAACAGAAATGTGTGAGTCGCATCTCAGTCTCTCTTTTCGCTTTCATTTCAACCAAAGAAGTTTTCTTGTAATTTGCTTTTAGGCAAACGCATTGATATTTAGGCAACATATTTCAACTAACGCTATCACTGAATGCGTCAGAGAAACGTAGCCTATTTGTGTGGAATGTTGTATTTTAATTCTAGACGTTTTTAATAGGAAATGGTAAACCCTGATACTGCTTTATTTTTTAAATTTTAATCTCAATTTCTTGATTTGATTCAAACGAGCGAAAAACATATTTTAATGAAATTTCTGGATCACAGAATGGAAAAAACAAAGTGGATAGCATTTAATTAGTAAATCATTTATGGATATATTTGTTTAAATCTCTAAGGGAGATTTAAAAAGAAGGTGAAACATCTCCCAATATTATGAAGACTCAAAGTTTCAATGTTAAACTATTCGGAAAAAATGGAGATGCTAAAATGATTTTAAAACTATTTTGGTTTCAAAGGGCTCAATTGTGTTTCATCTAGAAAAATGATCCAAGCGACAAATAGAAATGAAGTATTCTTTTTAGAATGCAAAAGAAATATTTTAAATTCAAAATGATATATTTATCTATCAAGAATTATAATTCCCATGTAAAAACATATGTGTGGTCGAACCGTTTACGATGGTAGTCATAAGTTTTATACTTCGTAACTGATTAACGTAATTACGTTTCCAATGCTTAAAAATAAGTTTCTAGATAATAATTTTTTTATTGAAATGAAAGGGTAATTTACGAAGTTATTTTAGGCTTATGCCATTTCATAAGAAATAGTTTATTCATGAATATCGGAATTGTAATGAGGATTATTGCATTTAGAGTGCATATAAAAGCCGGTACATAACTGAACTCTTGAACAGAGGCGAACGAAGAAAGTAGTAAGCTGAAAGCAAATCAAAACATGAAGTCGGTATTCTTATTAGCACTTTGCGTGTTTATAATTTGTGGTAAGCCATATCGAAATTCTTCAATCCCTAACTACTTTAAGCCATTCGATTTTCAAAAATCGAAGTCAAATGAAATTACCAATATAATTAACGTGTAGTGAATTGGTTTGTTTGTTACAGGAGTTGGCGCGTCATTGTCAAAAAGAGGGCCATTCACTCTTGAAGCAAATAATAACAACAAAAAAGGAATTTCAGCCGATATTGGCGACGATATCGGCGATCTTGGATGTTCGATCTGTAAAGACGTTACGGTGTTTGCTAAAAAACAAATCTCTGAAGATACTAAGGTAAATAAATGAAAACTTTCAACAAATATTAAAAATAGACATTTTAATCCGTTTTTATCGCTTTTCGTTCTCTTTAGAAAGATATAATAACTACTTTGCAGAATGTGTGCAAAAGCGTTTTGTCATTCTTTGAAACTTTTTGTAATGAGCTTGTCAAAATGGAGGACACAGACATTGAATCGCTGATTAAAAGTGACCCCGAAGCAATTTGCAAGCAAATTGGGCTATGTTAAGGAATCAATATGTGAATTCAAATTCCATAACGAATCAAAGGCAAACTCTTTCGAGGAGTTAATGCCCAAAATGGCAATGGCACAATTGAAAGCCTGTTCAAATATTTCCTTTTTGCAAAAATAAAACTCATATATGACATGTCTACATTTGTTTGTTTCTCTTTCACTTTTTGATTAAGCAAATCAATTTGTGGTAAAAAGGGTGTTTGAGCACAAAGCGTTTGATATTTACTTGTAAATAATTATTTGAGAGCGATTTGCAACACATAGAGAATGACATTTGTTAGGCAAAATCGTTCTAATGGTGAAACGTCAAACTACCAACAGATTGTTTCAAATGTATTGGAAATTTCAGTACAAGTGCGAAATTTTGTTTACTAATACTACGTAAGTGACTTGCGACTTGCGTTGTGCCATTTGTACTGAATTTATCAATACATTTGAAACAATCTTTTGGTTGTTTGACGTTTCACCAATGAAATTCGGATGGTTCACTAATTCTGTTTGCTAATGCTCCGTATTTTGAACACGGAAACTTTGGAAAATCGGTCAATTTGACGGTGAATCTTTCACTTGAGCATGCGTCGTATGAATCTTTCCTGCGCTTTACATCGGAGCTGTAGTGAAGTTAAATCACGAACCTAAGACAGAATACTTGATTGAACCTAAGACAAGAACGCTAAAATAGTTTTGGGAAGACAGAAGAAAATAGTTGTGCTTTCTTCATGTCGAATTGAAATTTCGAGAGAAAAAGAAAAATAAAGTATTTCGATATATAATATTAAACACAAATGTGTGAATCACGTCTCAGTCTTTCTTTTCTTTTTCATTTCAATCAAAGAAGTTTTCTTGTAATTTGCTTTTAGGCAAACACATTGATAACATATTTCAACTAACGAATGCGTCAAATAAACATAGGCTATTTGTGTGGAATGCGATATTTTAATTTGAGACGTGATTCATAGAAAATAATAAAGTCCGAGAGTGCTATATTTTTTAAATTTAAACATGTGCCTTTTCAAAGGAATCATGATGGTAGTCATAAGTATAAAATTCGTAACTAATTATCGCAATTGTGTTTGTAATGCCCAAAAATATGTAGCTGGATAAAAAACTTCACTTAACAATGAATCAAAATAGAAAATTACTAAATTATTTTCGGCTTATGCCATTTGATAAGAAATGATATTATTCATGAATATTAAAATGGTAATGGGGATTATTCCATCTAGAGAGAGTGCATATAAAAGCCGTGCACATAGCTTCTATGGTTCAGTGTCTTGAAACGAGGCGAACAAAGAAAGTAGCAAGCTGAAAGCAAATTACAAGATGAAGTCGGTATTCTTATTAGCACTTGGCGTGTTCATTATTTGTGGTAAGCCATATCGAAATTCTTCAATCCCTAACTACTTTAAGTCATTCGATTTTTAAAATTCGCTCGATTTTCAAAATTGAAGTCAAACGAAATTATCAATATAATTAACGTGTAGTGAATTGGTTTGTTTGTTACAGGAGTTGGCGCGTCATTGTCAAAAAGAGGGCCATACACTCTTGAAGCAAATAATAACAACAAAAAAGGAATTTCAGCCAATATTGGCGACGATATCGGCGATCTTGGATGTTTGATCTGTAAAGATGTTACGGTGTTTGCTAAAAAACAAATCTCTGAAGATACTAAGGTAAATAAATGAAAACTTTCAACAAATATTAAAAATAGACATTTTAATCCGTTTTTATCGCTTTTCGTTCTCTTTAGAAAGATATAATAACTACTTTGCAGAATGTGTGCAAAAGCGTTTTGTCATTCTTTGAATCTTTTTGTAATGAGATTGTCAAAATGGAGGACGCAGACATTGAATCGCTGATTAAAAGTGACCCCGAAGCAATTTGCAAGCAAATTGGGCTATGTTAAGGAATCAATATGAAATTACAGATTCTATACTGAATCAAAGGCAAACTCTTTCGAGAAGCTAATGCCCAAAATGGAAATGACAAAAATGAAAAAATGTTGTTACTCCAAATGGTCCTTTTTTGTAGTAAATAAAGATGATGTGACTAACTCTTCGTAGTCAAACTGTCAACATTTGTGTGTTTAATTGTTGTCTATTCATTTATTTCACACCAATTTTAGCCGAAATATAAAATTTTACCATCAATTAAGGCTAAGATCAAAAGAATTTTCAGAGTGAACTACGGCGCTTTCGTCACTCGTGCATACTGTCATCCGTTGTAATGATTACCAGCGCAACAGTTTGTATGAATCTTTCCATTTCCCATTTGTATTCCTGTTTAGTTGCCGTGCACCTTTTTTCTTTCTTTTTCACATCTTCGCCAGCATGATGTTATCCATCGCTGCATGTCGCTTCTCTGAAATACGACAAAAACCACAAACAACGTTCCGACTGGATAAAGTGATGAGACAAAGCAAATCGTATGCGTCATAGATTTTTCCATAGAACTTGTTGTGCTTGATATTTGCTTTTCGGTCGAAGAAAATCGGTAAAATGAACAGAGAAAGGAAAAGCGGAACAGAACGTGAGTGAAAGATAGACGAACGCATTGTGTTCCACACAGTCAAATGAAAATTCACTGGTGTTCGAGTATTGTGTGACATTGTGAAGAAATGGAGCGAATGATATGCACACAATAAAAGGCATTCATTTGAATTTCTTAATGAAAATATTGCCTAACGTAAAATTCACCAGAAATTATTATTAGAACCGAATGAAATGTGCAGAAACACAAGAATATGGCATACATCGAATGAAAAACAACAACAACTGAAAAAACTGGATGCAAAAGTACCGAAACGAAACAAAGAAAATGCTTCATAATTAATATGCCAGAAGATACACAAAACGATTTATTATTTTCTTTTCTGTTCAGCTGTGTGCAAAACAGTTATCTGTCTGTATACAGAAAGTCCGGATGACTTTCCGCGGACCATTTTTTTAATACCATGATTTTTATGTGTTCTTTTTTCTTCGAAAAGAGCAGAAAAAAGAAACCAGAGAGGATTTTACTTGATTAAGCTTTGTACTGGATAAAATGCAGGTTGGAATTTAGCTTCGCTCAGTTCAAGTGCGTTCATACGAAATCAAAGACGAGAGTCCAAACCGAAACAGATTTAGAGCACATGGCTCGGGATAGAATAATTATTCCACTTTGTTACTTCACGATATGATGCTGCTGTTGGTTTTTTTTGTGTGTCGTAGTGAAGGTGTCCGGCAAACGCTTTTTTCGCAGTAATAATTCCCGCGCACAATAGAAAAACAACAGCAAAAAAATGATAATAAATTTTCATTTGTCGGCAATTTTTCTTTTTGCCATTTATGCTGTTTATTAAAATAAACGTTCATTTACCATCGAATTTCAATCGTTCCATACACAGGCGCGCACACTCAATTTTATTTGTTGTAACGCATTTTTCGTTTAATAAATGTGTCTTCCTGTTCATGTTTTTCCAATTTACGAAACAAATTGGTGGAAAAAATGCGTTGATAAAATAATTTCATTTCTGATATCGTTGGCCCTGTTCCAAATGCTTGACAGGCATTCCCATGCATTTTGCGACTGCTTGAATTCGTTGAATACAGGTTAACATATTAAAATATCACGAGCATCGTAAGCCGTAGCAATAACGGTGGAAAATAAGCAACAGCAGCAGCAGAAGCGGCAGCACGACTTAAGGCAAATAATTACCGAATATTTCATACAAACGTGTACTGGTTGCGCTTCAAGCGAATGTTCGTTCATTCGTTTGTCATTTTGGATGATGTGTTTTTTTTTCTCTCTCTCTCTCTTCACCGTGTCGATTTATCTTTATCGCGCCACCAGCGATGCTATTGCTGTTGCTACTGCTTCATCCCCTTTGATTTGTTATTCATTTTTATCCCGGTTCATCGTCTTAAGAGCTTTTGGAACCGGCTGCAAATCTCTTGATTTAAATGCTCCCATTTTTGTGTGTACCTATGTGTGCGTATGTGTGCTCAATACCCAGATCCAGGGAAAAAATCGTTGCCACTTTGTTTTCGCGCATATTTATTTCACAATGTCATCTCATTGACTTATTTGAATGTGATTTGTTCATCCGTGGTGTCTTCATGTCTTTCTCTCTCTCTTTCTCCTACGCCCACCCTCCCTCTCTCACATTTATCGTGTGCATTCGATGGCATGGTTGTCAACAGCAAGTGGAAAATGAGGTGAAGGTGAAACCACGCAAAGCATTTTCATCATATTAAATTTCATGGAAATTCATTTGTACACAAAAATATTAAACCATGAATAATGTCATCATGCAATCATGAATCAACTTCAAATCAATTGAAAATCACCGCCGCTACCGCCCGTTGCACCCCTCGTGTTCCGCGAAAGCGTTTTTATACCGCTCATGGTACGGCAATTCAAGTAGTTTACAACAATAACAATGGCAACGAATCTATGCGTTTATCGCGCGAAATAGATGAAGTCCTCCTTTGCTTCGCGTAGAGATCTTCTTCAGCGCCTTTATTTATTTCTATTTTGCTGTACCTTTTCCTCATCCCCTCATCATCAATTCGCATTTAGTCGTTCGCACGATAATATGCTGCTCTTGATGGCGAGAGATGCTTGTTCGCGGAAAAGATTGGATGATGGTTCCTCTCTCTCTCTCTCTCTCTCTCTCTCTCTCTCTCTCTCTGTGTGTGTGTGTGTGTGTGTGTGTGTGTGTGTTTGTTGCTGTGGTGAAAGCGGAACATTTCGCCTTGATTTTTGGATCGTTTGAATAAACATTTGAATTTAAAATGATTTTCGATGACAATGCGTCACACGCAACGGAAAACTTATCCAACAAAAAACAGTTAATATTCAAATTCCATCTCACCCCTTTCGTTCGTTCGCTCTCCCACTCCACGATTCCAAATAAACCATGCCATTTCTAGATGCTAAGCCGCGGATTTAACCAGATTCATATTTTTTGTTGTTTTGCTCTTCCCTCATCTTCAATCATCCGTCCGCGCTCGAAGAATTGTGTTACGGTTGACATTTTTGCTGAAAGCAAAACGCACAAATTTCCAATCCTTTATGTTCTGAAACGCGATTTTATCTTCTGTAAACACAAAATTCGGGACAATTTTCATGGTCGTGAATTTTGTAAGTAAAATGGACTGTGATGAACCGACGCATATTTTAAATGGAAAAATACTTTTGATTCTAAATGTTCTTGCAAATTTGGGGGTGGTTTAGCGGTGCTGATTGCCAATTCACGTTCTGAACGCATTTTTCAACGCTAAAGAAGTTGTTACATAATTCAATTTTGTGTCGAATTTCGCCGAATTTCTGTGCAATCTAATCCAGAGCGAGTGGGAGTCTCACATTGTGAGAGTGAACGAGATAACGTATTTTCGCAACCAACAACTGAATCCAAATCAATCTTATTTCCATATAAGGCACAAAATGGTACTTTTTTCGAGTGCAAGAAAACGTTGCACTCGCCGCTCTACATGAAATTGCAATAAAATCATGCGGAACAAGCGAAAACTTTGCTGATTTTAAGTACTTTCAAGTGTTAAACCGAAAATGTGATGGATGAATACAAGCGTATTAAATCTGGGTAGCACAAACACTTGAACATTCTATCACTCATATCCGCCTCTCAATGAGTGAGATTGCCTATTAGTGTGCGCATTTCTCTTGTGGATGAGTTTAAGTGTTCTCATCAAGAAACTAACTGATCACAAAGAGGAAATATTTTAATCGACTTTAATATATTTCGTGTGAATTGCATCGTCGTCGTCGTTGTCGTTGTCGTCGTCGTTGTCGTTGTTGCTGCTGTTGTTGTTTTATCATCAACAATTTCGAAAATACACGTGATGCAATTCGCCGTTGGGTGGCGTTCTCCTTTTTTTCCGCCGCTTTATATAAAAGTTGGAAAGCAGTAATTGCTGTGCCGCCAATAACAAAACCGCTCATTAATACGAATCGCAAAGTTTTTGCCGTTACCGCGAAAATGCAAACAAAATTTTTTATTCCCTTCGAAAATGCACATACACCGCAAATGAATGAGTTCGCGTGAGTAAGAAGCACCTAAATGATATGCTTCACGTGCATGGAATCTTCAGCGTGAAAGTCAAGACAAAGCAATTTCCCTAAACGAACCGAAGAAAAAGTGTGCGCTTGTATGTGTGTGTGTGAGTGTGGAAAAGGAAAGTTTTGTAATTTATAGAAGTTGTACTTGGAATAAATGGAGAAGTACGAGACAGCCATTTGATGCAATTCATTAAGAACACGTCTTCAAATGAATTCCAACTGTTGTGGATATAAATTTCAACGCAACGAAAATATATTTATGTATTATATACACACACACAGATCTATTTAGTAATTTATAAATGGAATGCGTTTGCAATATTCGCCGTGGGTTGTTCAGGCTGATACGAATTTGGTTTATCGTCGGAATTAACCGTTCTTCACCGATATATCCAAAGTAAGAAGTTGAATCTCAATTTAATTGGCGAATTATTATTTCTTGATACTTGAAATGTACAGTAAAATTGTTTACCTGAACAGAGATAATCCCTCTGAGATAGTATGCTGTGACGGTCCAATGTTTAATATTGTTGGTTTTCTGGAAAAGACAATGTAAATGATGAAACCGAGTTACATGAAACGCACTTCACTTTGAATGAAATTCTGGAACTGTCAAAGAAGTAATTTATCAATTAATTAATTAATTCACACAGGAAGTAGTGAAGTACACACGTTGGCAAAAGGATACGAAACTTCCATTGTTTTTGTTACGAACAAAGTTCATGGCCCGTTCTTTTCTTTCATCCCCGTTCCACTCCGATTCGACGCAACAAGTAGGCAAAAGTGGTTTGACGCAAACGATGCGTTTCACAGAAAATTACTTTAGCGTAAATGATATTAAGCATTATCCAATGGATGGAGACGACATCATTCCTCATCCTTTTGTTGCGTGGCATTCGGGCGGGTTCGTTCAAGGAAATTTTTATCGTACGGCAACAGGAAAAAATTGACTTATATTCATCTACTCGAAAGTTGAGTGTTTTTGCTTGATTAGAAACAATTTTAGAAAATGTCC